GAGAGAAAGAATGTGGCCAGATGGCTGGATGGCGAGGCGGCTAGATAGTTAGTTTGGCTGAAAGGGAGGTAGTTGGTTGGCTGGATGGATAGTTAGGAAGAGAGTGGTATGGAATACTGGCAAACTGGGACTTGGAGAGGTTATTGGCTAGAGACTGGCTGGATGGTAAGATGATAAGGATTAAAAGAAGGGTTGGAAAATAGGCATGAGTGTCAAATAGAAATGGTAGTCGGTTGACTGGGAGATAGGCAGAGTGGCATGGCAATAGAAGAGGAAGAGAATAGCAAAAGAGAAAAAAAGGGTTAGTAAATGGATATGATAGAAGAGTAGGAGGAAAATGGAGTTGGATAGGTAGGCGTCGAAGGCGGTTTGGCTGGTTGGCTGGTAAGTTGGCTGGTAAGTTGGCTGGTAAGTTGGCTGGTGAGTTGGATGGTGAGTTGGTAGATAGGAAGGATGGCAGTATGGAAAGATGGAAAATGACTTGGAAACTGGATGGAGGTTGATAGACTGGAATGATGGTCAGGAGAGGAGAGAGGAGAGAGGAGAGAGGAGAGAGGAGAGAGGAGAGAGGAGAGAGGAGAGAGGAGAGAGGAGAGAGGAGAGAGGAGAGAGGAGATGGGAAAGGCCCGGCGAGTGGGCGGGATAGTGGAGCGGCGGAGTGCCAAGATAGCAAGTTGGAAAGATGGCGGGACAACGGAAGAAATAGAAAAAAGGAGAAAGAAAAAGAGGAAAGAAAAGGAGGAAAGATAAATTAGAAAGTTGGAAAGTAGGAAAGTAGAAAAGATGGCAGAATGGAAAGACAGAAAAGAAAGGTACATAAGAAAGTACAAAGGAGAAGGGGAAAAAAAAGGGGAAGGTCAAAACTCCATCGACCGACCAACCGCGGCATCATGAGCCTGGCCGAAGCCCCTCCGCAAGTGACCTCAAGCTTGACGAAGACCAGCTATGTCCCACGCTGGAGACTCACCACAGACCCGAATGTTCCTCACCAGAGAGGGACTCCCACATCAGATATTAGTCTTAAAAACAGGCCTACAAACCACGAACCGAGCGAGTTGTACAAACTACTCACGAAGAGCCTGGCTCGACGCTTTTGTCCTCGTCCAGGGCAGGTGGTGCTGTCCCCCCTGTCCTATCGCGCATCGCGTGCCTCGTGCCTTGTAGGCAGGGAAGTAGAAATTAATCAGCTGAGCCCCGCAGGCAGTGCTTGAAGGCAGGGAAGGAGAAGAAAAGTCCCGAGAAAGGATATCTCAAGAGAGCATAATCTAACCTGAACCCCGCAAGCTCCGGAGGATATCCTAGTGGTCTCACACTCAGCCGCACCGCGTGTCTGAGCTGGCTCTGGAACAAACATGGGAACACTTGAGCTTCTCTCCACCGAAGTGAACCACATCAGTGTCAGGATTCTAGATGTCTCATCTAGAACCCTGACAAGCGGGTTCAGGCGGCGGGTCCAGGGACCGGCGATCAGTACTGCTTGGCTCTTTGCGGTGGTTTAGGAAGATTTTGTCAGAGAAGAATGTTAAGACAAAAGAAATCCGGGTGTCCTGGACCTGATCGGGCTGTCGTGTTTGCCTAAACCCTTTACCCTTCTCTCCCACCCTCTTTCTAGGCATTTAGTAATATAATCCGTAGAGTCCTGGACCTGATTGGGCTGTCGTGCGTGCCTAAACCCTTTACCCTTCTCTCCCACCCTCTTTCTAGGCATTTAGTAATATAATCCGTGGAGTCGCCGTTGTCGTGTGAGCCTAATCCCATTTATAACCTTCTCTCCCACCCTCTTTCTAGGCAAATTTCATAATATAATTCATCGCGTTGTGCTGAAGTGGACCTGGAAACCTTGGCCGGAACGTTTGTCGAGAATCCTGAGCGTCGGAGGCTAGTCGAAATTTGTTGCCAAAATAGTCGCGCATATAATATTGAACTTTGGTGTTTGGATGCTGAAGTTTGTCGAAAGTATCGTATAAAATAAAGTTGAATTCGGGCCGTCCTCGGTCAGCCGGTCCAGATAGATGTCGTATTTCCCCACTAATCCCCCTGTCATTGTCGATGCCGTTGTCGAAGTTGTTCTTGAAACATGAGTAAGGTTGGGTTTGGGTAGAGATATGAGGCGGCAGATGCAAAAGTGGAAAATGGAAGTATTGTGTAGGTTAGGGGGTTGACGCGATGGGAGGGGGTAAATGAGATTGAGGGGTATGAGTCATGAGGGTAATGCAGGCAAGTTATGGATGCGAAATAGAAGGGCAAGTTGCAGCCTATGACGGTCCATGCAAGTGGTACATATTTAAATGAAGTGAAGAAATTTGTGCTAGGAATATTCGTGCAAGAAGTGTTGGGGGGAAAGTGTTGCAAGAAACCCTGCTTCGAAAGAATTAAGATAAATTTGACTTACCAATATCATTCGTCCATTTCCCCTAGGCCTGTTGAGTAAAGTTGAATGGTTAATATCTCTGTTACCTAATATGTAGTAGTGGGTAGTGGGTAGTGGGGAGGGGGAGAGTATGTTATGTTATGATGTTTGGCGACTTGGGTAGAGGGTAAGGTGTTGAAGGAAGGGAAATTGCATGGTGGTTGAGGCAGCAGGATGATAATGTTGGTTGGGTGGGGGAAGGGTTGCTAGGGAAGGGGAGGGTTTGTGGTAAGGGAATGTGGTGTGCAAAATATTATTAGTGACATACCTGTTGTAATGTTCCAGTGTTATTGCAGTTGTTGTGGTTGTTGTTGTTGTTGAAGTTGAAAAGTTGAAAGTGCAAAGATGACTGGGGGGAGGGGATGTTTATATATGAGTGGGAAGGGTGGGAAGGGTGAGGCTGATTGGAATCAAAGGTTGCAAGATCACAACTCAACTGGTGATTTCGAAATTGTGCACAGGTAAAATCGGGTTCGCACCTTCCTCGAGTTTGATCTGTAGAGTGATTCAATGTATGTGACTGTACTGAAGCAACCCCTCGATTTTAGCTGTCAATAAAAATACATGTCACTCCCGTACCAGTACAAGCAAACCTCACGAAATCATACCGAAATATCAATTATGGCAAGTACGGTTCCCTCTAAAGGAGGCGCCTATTAGGTATTTTCCATAATTTGTTTGTTGATGTAGCTAAATCTGAAGATAGTTACCCACCCGAGGTACTTGAGGTACGATTAATATTTGTTGTACGTACAATCAACGTACCTTCGAACCATGTGAAATCATCGATGCGCGAGCACCTTCTTACGAAATTTAATTTTTAAATCAGTAGCGTACCTATGTACCATAGCAAAATCAGTACAAAATCAGTAAATGTTTGCACACCATGGAGGTTAGATAGGCAGTACGTATCATGGAGATCAGAGATATTATACGTACCAAACCGAAAGTTTCTTAAGGTACGCTCGGTCAATACCAAGGTACTAAAATCTAAGTTGCTGTTATGATGTGTTTGAGGTTGTGAGTCAGATCTATATTACGTATCCTCAAAATCGCTTTAGATACACACCAAATTAATTACGCAATGCAATGGCTCAACTTAAAAGCACTAGATCAGTGTTATTTAGCGCCCTTTCCTCTTGACTCACAAATTCTCTGTGATTTAAGCGTTCGTAGTCCAACTGAATCAGGTACATCTATGATACAAAAGTCGGACAAGATCAGCACGTAAGCACCATACGTCGCCGAACCTCAAATCACCAAGATATTACAGAGTATCTAAACTGTGTATATTTATATTGATTATACTGTTACCAAGTAAGCTCTCCCTTTTTTATATGTGTTTCTACTATTAAATGTCCTATCCTAAGTAAAGAATGTTGCGTCGTAAGGCATTAAATGGAACACCATTAAATTTTTGAAAATTATAAAACGAGAAAATTATGTTAGGCCATAATGGTATATCCAAATGAAATCGATTTCGCTATTTCTAGATTATTTATCGGGCAGTCTTCTCTCTCTCGGTTGGCGTGACGTTGATTCAGGGGGTTGTTGATGACTCAGCAGGCTGACGACAGAATTTACCTTACCCTGTGGATCCGTCACCACTGGGCACGGACCACCAATCGTAAGGACCCACAGGTCCACGAGTAGGGAATGCATACAAATTGTAAATAGCTTCCTAGATAGATTCCTCTCCTTTACCTAATCAATCATACAATACTACGAGACTCATCGGATACATATCATCATTGTGATATCGTATCACGAGTCCTTGTATTGTGATACCAGGACGCACAACCCATGTACATGCAGGTATGTACCTATGTACTTTGCCCCTTTTTAATTGCAACTCTAATATGCAAGGTCAATGTTGTTATAACGTTAAGGGCCGACCCGTGCAAAAGCTTTTCTGATACGAATTTCAGTAAATATTCTAGCGCTATAGGTTAGGACCTTTTAAGTTATTCTGATTACTTTTAACTGCTGCAATCGGCGGTGGCAAGGGGTCTCACAGATAAAATATAAATCGTGTATATTTCCATGATCTGTGCACCAAGTAACAATAAGTGGTCGCGTGTACTAGATCTACTCATATAGCAAGTATTACTATACATCACAGCCTTATTATTCTTTTCAAGGAGCTTATTTGTTGAAAACCTCAGTTTGTTAGTTACAGCTTATTAATAGACTTCAAATCTTGTACGGTTGAGGTTAGGTAATTGCCATGATTTGTTCATTTTGATAACTCGGGAGGCGGTTTGGATATCATTCGCATACCCAGACAATCCCATTATAGGGATGGAACAATGTCTATCTAGTATCAAAAGGTTCTTTATCCCGGAACACCTCGTTAAGGATGCAAGCTAGGTGTTTGAACATAGTCATTGAACACTTTCTTTATTCTAACAGTCAGTGTCGAATATTAGAGCGCTGTAGTCCCAAAATCCGTATGATAGGTATTGTATATTAGGACGCAGATTACCGTACCCAAAGGCATTCCGTTTATGACTTCCGAGGTTCATTTTATCTTGTAGATTAGAATCTATACTTAAAACTTTCACCAAACGCAATCTCCCCTTTGAACATCATGACTGGTGGAAGGGATCCACAAGGACTCAGGAGGTCCCTGAGAATAAAGGAGTTGGAGCAGAGACAACGCCCTGCACCACCACCACCGACATGGATAGAATCAGTTAGAAGACGAATAGAGGCAGAAGAAGCAGAAGGCTTAGACCAACCACCACAAGTCAAACAGAGAATAAATGAGTTGCAGCAGACAAAACGCCCTGCACCACCACCACCGACATGGATAGAATCAGTGAGAAGACGAATAGAGGCAGAAGAAGCAGAAGGCCTAGACCAACCACCACAAGTCAAACAGAGAATAAAGGAGATGCAGCAGACAAAACGCCCTGCACCACCAGCACCAGCATGGGTAGAATCAGTGAGAAGACGAAGAGAGGCAGAAGAAGCAGAAGTCTTAGACCAACCACCACTTGTCAAACGGAGAACAGAACCGGTAGTGCCGACGCCACCGGTGGTACCGGCGCCACCAGTAGCGAACCCGCCCGTAGTGCCTTCGGAGACGCCGTCGGGGCAAAGCGGGGGGATGGTGATTCCTCCAGATGTATTAGAGGAGGTGGTGAAAGGAGTAAAAGGCTATGGACTTCCGGCGCCGATACATAGGGAGGAAGAAGAGGTCCAACAAGAGGTAGACGACAGCCAATTACCTCCGTTGGCTGACTGTAAGTAACTCATTCCCTGTTTTCCTCTCAGCTTGTCTGCATCTGCAAATTGACGATAGAGGAGCCTTTTAATACTTTGGATAAAGAAGTAATTGCTAACTACTACCTATTTTAGTTTTATATCGGTTTATCTGGGGATTTGCTGTCATAAGAAACTATGTCGAGAGGGGCCTTTGCGGCATGCAAGCATTAATTGATAGTCTACAATGCCAACGTATCCTCCCTGACGGGGTTTACCTTCCGAGCATGAATGATCTGTTGCAAATATATCGGCAAAATGTAAGTAGAGGTACATATGATGTTTCGTTTGAGGTCCACCCAGAAGATCGAAACATGCCGGGCCCGTTCCAAGCCGAGATATTATCACATATTATAAGCGAATGGAGCCGCATTTACAGTAGCCCACCATTTCTGCCACACGAGGAGACCGAAGAGAGTCGCCTTCAACGACGGGTTCCGCCCCTGATAGCTGGTTTCCACAGCGATGGCGAAATGCCGTTTACGATTGGGAACACTCAACCCGGAACTCGAATCGTCTGGATTCACAACTCTGGCGATCATTGGGAAGGTCTCATGCCAAGTCGTGATCAAGCGGCCATCAATCAGATGTTTAGAGACTATGGTCATGAATTATACCGAAGCGAAACTTGCCCACAGTGGTTTGTCGACATATGCCAACGGAGACAGAGACGGCAGCCGGTAGTAGGTCTATTCCCAGACTATGACCCATTTATGCCCGTACACGCAGAGGGACCCCCTGGATTATTCGGTAGGTCACCATCAGTATCACCACTATCACTAACAGGACCGACATCGGCACCAGCACCGCCGCGAACCCTGCAACGTACAGCAGCAGAGGCACTGGAGAGATTGGAAAGATTATTCCAGGCAAGACGGAGAAGGGACGATGATATGGCGTCAGGAAGACATCAGGACAGCTATTATTAAGTCATGAGGTCTTAGCAATAGGCAAAGACAGTTGATATGTATCCAATAGGTAGATTGCTCTAATTAGCGGCAGCGAATAAATTAATTACAACTCCCTTTTCTATTCCTCCCCCTAAATGCCACCACAAGTGCGACCCGTGCTCTACTCCTCCACAACGTGCCCTGTTTAAACCACCACTTCTAAGTAATCCAATCGCTACGGCTCCCATTGACTTATGCCTGGCAGTTACCAACGGTGTGCGTGACACTATAGCAAGTCGAGCAGTCGTATCCGTAGATGGACAAACCCTTGCAGTAGGAGTCATCCGGGCAAGACTGGCTGGGGCAGCTCTTCTCCTGGCGCGCGTCGAGGGGGGTTATCTTACGCGGCTTGGAGGTCTGCTCGACGGCCTTGGATTTGGCAAGCTTGGCCTCGGCGAGAACGTCCGCGCTGGGGTCCTTTGCGGCGGCGGACCGGTCGTCGAGCTTGGCGAAGTCCACCACGTTGAAGTTCTTGTCGAAGGTGCGCACGACGTTGTCAGAGCCCAGGTGAGCGAAGCCGGCGCCCGAGGCGTCGCGCTTCAGGTTGGGGAGCACGTCGTTGACGGAACGGATCTTTGGTTGGATGTTTGTTAGTCTTGGTGCCCTTATATCTTTTACTGTACAATTTTTGGTCATACCTGGTTGGCCGAAGGAACAGCGGCAACGAGGCCGGCAGACATGAAACTGAATGCAATGGAGAACTTCATTGTGATGGAAGGATTTGGGTTGGCGTTTGAACCGAGGGTATATATGAAGTCTTAAGGAGTTGATTGAGATTGCAACAGAGACGTTCTTGCTGATGACATCGAGACCAAAAAATCAGGACTCTTCGCCTTTGCTTTATAGCAACAACCCCTTAATTGATCGACAGTTCCTTTATCCATTTTACTCAACACCTACCAGCGCAATTTCACAGGCATCGCGATCAACAGAGCGTGTGCTCCTGGCCGAAGCGAACCACACAGTAGGAACGACGAGTGTGGCGCCGTGAACCCTTCGCAGGGCTGGATATATACGGCGGTGTGGCGTGGCGGTAAGCTGATGACAAGGTCCCGGCGCACCAGCTCATTGGCGAGAATAACGACCGGGCTCGTAATAGAAGACCCGATAGAAGCACGACCTCATACCGCGGATATCTCATCAAATTAAAATTTATATTTGGTTGAAATATGGTACCGCTACCTATTAACACTAAGATCATCGGTGTCGATAATATCTATTTACAGGGCTATGCTAGAGGAATATCGTGTCTTATAAGTCATCAATTATCATTGATACTAGAATACGACGACCAATAAGAGACTACAAGGGGGTCTAATTGCGTTAGAAACCATGTTGACTTAGTTAAAAACTAGATGATTAGAACGTAAAGTTGACCAATGTTATAGTTTTCGTGTATTGAAAAGGTTATTCCAATTGCCTAAAGACTTTGCGAGATTAGATCCTGCCAAGTATACCAAATACTGTAGTTAAACTGAAAGTTAACTAGAAGTTATATAATATGAATGGATGCTATAATTTCGCTAGAATTTACTCCCTTTTCCATAACCAGAGAACTATTCCTAGAGGCTTAATTGTAATATCGACGTATATTTTACTTTGAACTTGAAGGCCGTCAGATGGTAAACAAAACACAAGAAATCTTCAAAGAGAAGGTCACATAGTATGCAGGCAGTTGTGGTAATAAGAATCAAAAGATCTGGGTAATAAGTATCATCTAGAACTTATCAGAGATTTTCTATGCTAAAAAAAGGGTGCATAATTTGGACTTTAAGAAGCAACAAAAAAGAAGTTAAGATGTAAAATTAGATGCACAAACCAATCTGCAGGAAATCGAATGTGCGTCCTTAGAAGTCTTTGAAGCGCTGATTGTCTAATATACTTGCAGTTCTTATTTAGAGCCTTTGAATATGCTGCAGCTGAACCTGAGATTGTCTAGACACACAGAAAGCAACGTGAACATTCAGCAAACAGGAGCAGAATGGATCAACTAGTAGGTTTCAAGAAGCTCTCAAAGAAGGGACGCAAATAATGAAATAGCCAGAAGCAATCAGAACATACTACTTCTGTGCCATCGAGATATATATACATATGTGTTAACACTACCGACCCTATCTATCTACCACAGCTTACCAACTCGCAGCATATCGCCTCTTGAGTAACAACATTGCAAATACCATCTACTAGACCTAACACACTTACTCCGTTGAGCCACAATGTCGGACCCCAACAAACCAACCCCTCCCTCAACCTCAGGCTCATCCGCGGTGACAAAGGACTTCTTCGATTGCTTGTGGATGGTCCACGGCCGGGGAACTTCTTCAGAGCCTGCTACTCAATCCCCGGGCTCAGCAAACCCTCCCACTACGGGCAGCACGCCAGAGAGGCGCTCCAAAGACACATCTACCCCTCAAATGCAAACCCCACGCCCTCCACGAACATCCTCGGGCTTGTTTTGTCAGGGTAGCCCGGACCTAGGCAGTCCCACGCCAACAGCAACAACCCAGGCCGCGAAGCTACCCCAATCCCTATTCTCGAACTGCGGCGGCAGCGGCCAGCAGGGGAGCTTATTCTCAGGCAAGCCCGGCACGCCGCGGCGGTTATTCGACGGAAGCCAGAGGTCATCCCTATTCGATTCATCTGCAACACCAAACGCCGGAGAACAGCCATTCATAGGCTGGGGCGCAGGCCGCAACACGTCGCTCTTCTCGTCGGATATCCCGTCGACGCGTACATCTGCGGGGGAGAGCCCGACGCCGACGGAGTCCCGGCAGGGGTTCAACCACTCTACCTACGGCGCTAAGGTTATGGAGAACGATATCAAGATGGTGCGGGCGAGGGAGTGGCAGGCCTATATCCAGGGTTTGGGGCCACGTCCGCTGAGAGGACCTTATTATGGTGAGGATGAGGATGGGGAGGGGGAGGAGGAGAATAAGAAGGATGAAGAGAAGACGGTTGAGAAGGTGGATGAGAAGGTGGATGAAAATAAGGGAAAGTAGATCGGATGGGATAGGAGGATTGTAGCTTGGAAAGAGAGAGAGAGAGAGAGACTTGCTTGTTGCATATTGCTGAGTGATTAATGGTTGCGCATTGACGCTTTGGTTGGGTTTTGGGGATTGATAATTGTCTATTTGACAATAGCATAAGGACCCGGGAACGGACTGCTTGTTTAACTTCAGCTCTCAAGGATAGAGACGGGAAATGGTGGGAAGGGATAGACTAAGGTAGCATTTGCATTGACTGAATGTACATGTTCGTCACAGTATTGTGTTTGCTACAATTGAATTCTGAACAGTGAATAGCTGTGGCAACTCCATTTAAAATTCCGCATTCAGTAGAGTATTGATTCGATCTGTAAAAGAGGGAGTGAAATGGTTGATTGGTTTTAAGAACCCATATGATATACTCTCGATTGTTTTATCGCGTCTAGTATGAATAGGGGTCATAGCAAATATCCCTTCGTATCGAAAATTCCTAACTCATAAGCAATACGATAGAAGCTGAAAGCAAAATCTAAAAATAAATAAGTTTATAGCAAAGTAGCAAGCCAGTATATACAATTCCAAGACCACACATTTTTATTCGCCAAGATGTCAGGGTATAGTGGGTTAGGGTGGCTACAGGGGTCTGTACGAATATATAAGAGGCGCAAAGCGCCCTCAGAGGTTAGAAGGCCAGGCGTTACTAAGTTCAATACAATTACTACTTGGTCTACCTACCCTCGACATTCACTCTATGCATGATTCACCTCACTAGGGCATCTAATCCTGACACAAGATCACTCACCACAGTCTGCGCAAGTTAGTCGGTGCATTGTTTCAGTCTTCACCTTCAACGAGAACCAATTACGATAGCGTCAACTTTTACAGAAAAAAAAACCATAACTTCATAATTAATCCACCGTCGCCAGCTAACCCACATCTACCCTACCTGCATTAGGTCCCTTCGGCCCCTAAGGTAACAACACCTCTTCTGTCCCTAGAAACCGCCCTACTAGGCGCAGATATGGTTCCAACCACCAACCAGAGTCTCCTCGTTAGCGACGAATCCTTCGGGTTGCAGTCTATACGTGATAATGTTAGCTTGTATGTACTAGAGATAGATAGATAGGCGGACATAAAACTTACAACTCGTCGAAACAAGTACAATACGAGCCGATATTGCTCCCCTCGCCAGCGTAATTGACGAAGAAACTACCGGAGCCGGCAACCCCGGCATTATTACAGAAGTACTGGCACTTGAACTGAGCATAAGCGAAGCCGGACTCAACCGGCTCGGGAACACCGAAGGTCTAATCCACATATTATCGTCAGCCATATTCTCCTACATCATCCCTCCCCCTTTCCTTCATGCCACAGTTACATATAAGATTGGTGTACTCACGTAAGTGCCGATAACATGGCTCTTGGACCACGCTTCCTCGGGCTGGTATCCATTCTGGAATGCCGACGTCGGCACGGCTGGGGCGTAGTTGATGGTGTATCCGGCCGTCACGACGGGAGCGCCCGTTGTGCAGGGAGCCGCTGCGGGAGTAGGAGCAGGGGCTTGAGTAGCAGGGAACGCGAGTCCTGCCGTGGCGACTGCCACGATCGACAGTACAGTTCGCAAACTGAAGCTTCCCATCTTGACTAATTTTGTTGCGCTGAGGTATGAGTTATGGGAGGTTGTTGTATTAGGTATTGCAAGCTTAGGAATTTCCTAGGGAAATAGAAGTCTCTGGGTCGTATTTATGCAGATCTGGTTCGGCACTAGGAGAGTGAATAGGTAGAACGAAGGCGCAGGAGTCGGTGATAGATATTAAGGCAAGTGAATTTGTATGCTTCTATAATTGGGACTTATGGTATGACAGAGATGGTAGTCTGATGTCAAAGTCCCTGGAAACAGGGGTAAGAGAAGATCGGCACTGTGAGGTAGTGCCTGCCTGTTACTTGGAAGCGAAGATGAAAAAAAAAAAAAAAAAAAAAAAAAAGAAAAAAAAAAAAGAGGACATTTTCGGCCCTGGGCAAGAGCAATCCAATGCAAGGCACACAAACGGGTACTAGCTAATAAGGAAAGTTGCAGACATCTTCCCCTGCTCCTACTCACATAAACTCCGTGACACCTTCTCGATTCATTTATCTCGATTGATTTAATTTGTCCTGGGGAAAGGCTTGGGGAAGGCTGCATGACAAAACGTCCTAAAATCTGTCGATCGTTCTTCATCGAGGAAGTCAGGCCATTGCACTACGGCCACTACGGTAACAACCCCCTCGAGAACCAACTAGAATGACGAATGCAACAAAATATTTACATCTTCCGAACGGCATTTTCTTGTGTCTCGAATCCATAAACCTGTTAACTGCAAGTATCGCGTCAACTACACATCAACGTCCCTTCATAAATAGGCAAAATGCAACCTAGGGTAATATAGGATAATGATTATCGAGCTAGATCCCCGCGTCTGATTGGAACGTGGGGAAATACTCCGGTACATTCTGGGCATCTGGGTTGGTGGCTTTGTACGGAAATGTTACGCCGCAAACATGATCGACAACCCACCAACTCGTTATTGGGTCGTGACGACTGTGACGTTGGGAAACGCATAGGAGAGCATTTGAATCGGAAGCTACCAAAAAGGGGCGGTCCAGATTAGACTAATAAGAACCATTGTCCTGTCGATCATTCCAGAAGCTGAGGAATAGAGTTGTAGGTAGTATAAGGCAGCTTAACCGAACCAACTACCCTTAAGACATCGAGGATCGAGAACAGAGATGGATGTGATTTATTACCGTATTACTCACTGAGCATAATTGCATCGGGGAGATAAGGGGCGACTTGTGAGACAATGGCTTCATCGAGACCCTTGGTATCGTGGAAAACAAGGTAGGTTATGTGACATTACCTAGCTGCAACCTTATCAATATAGAAGTAAACGCCAGCCATGCAAGGTTTTCATACACCATTAATAAATACCGGCTTGTCGTACCTTATCGACTTCGTGGTCTGTAACATTAAAACATTCGCCATTGCTGAGGGGTGTTACGTAAAGGAAACCGGTGTAAGTTGCCAGATCGATCGTCCTTATGTTATCGGTGGCGAGACCCATTTACAAGCAAGCACATAGAACTGCCAGTGCCGTGTAATTATACATCCCTATTCATACCTTGAACGCTTTCCTCCCTTCGCATAAACCTGATGTTAACTTGGTGAGAGCCACCCATGTAGGTGAATACTTGAGTCCCTCGTCATAGGCAGGAATCGTACCGGGGGTGTTCACATCGTCCCAACTGCAGATAACGCTACCATTGATCCCAGTGCTTGCAGCCGAACCAGCTTCCCATTGAACATCAACCTTCCATGGTGTAGTCCAATCCCGGCGATAGAGTTTGATCTTAGTGAGACCCGATTCCGGTATACCACCAAAACGCTCGTGAGGTTGATTGCCATTGACTGTAAATGAGGAAATAGGCTTGTCGAACGCAATCGCACACGACCTACTGTCTCTTCCATCAACCTCAAATATGGCCTTGGTCTCACCCTTTACACGCGTGACATTGAAATGCAACCAGCTGCTAAAGTCCTTCTGTGGCAGGATTCCGTCGGGCAATGCCTTAACCACGTTAGGCGGGACTTCCGAGCCGTCGTAGGAGCAGGTAGTTAAGCCACTACGAAGACTCCCTTGTGAAGTACACTCAACTTCTTTGCCAGCGGCGGACGGTAATTCGGCAATCGTCCTCTGGACGTATTCTTGTAGGCCAGCATAATGGACCTTGCTCGTCCCAGTATCAAGGTCCACAGTTTGCTGGAAATAAATTTTGTATCTATTGTTTTCGGAGAAAGGGGGGGCAGCTAAGTTGTAAACTAGTGTGCCAATGAATACCCCGAGGAGTACCATCGGTACGTGGTGAGTAACCCGGTGCATGAACGGAGTAATGGGTAATAATAGAAAAATGCTGAAGAATGCTATCATAAGGTATGGGACTAGGAGACTCGATCCATCAGCACCTGTCTGGGAAACAGAGGCCACCAGTGTCAGGCCAAGTTGGCCGATGAGAATAATCAAGAACGGCCCTAGAATGAGAAATTGAAGGACCCAAAGCCAACTTGGGAGATTTGCCGACCATTCTTGTTCATATTCGTACGGTTGGTATTTGTCACTCTTGCTTGCTCTCGCTTTATCTATGATAGCCGATATTGAACGACGGTATGTAGTAGCAAATGTCGTCCGACGAGCGCCCGCGGGGGCACCACCAACAAGAGGAGTTGTCTCTGTTGCCGGGGAGTGAGGTCCGATATCCTCATCTTCGTTTTCATTAGAATTGAGCTCATCTCGACTTGGAGAGATTAAAGCGTCGGCGTGTGGAACATTAATAAGATGGTCTCTGATTTCGTGCTCGTCGTGTACTCGCTGCGCAAAGGACTCTTTCGTGGGTAGGGCAAACAGTTCGCATAGCACAATAAAAAAGGAAAGAAATACAGCAGAATGGAAGAAGACGAACACGTATCCAGCTGCGATCCTAAAGCGATCTTCAAAAACGGTATTCGCGACTGAAATACCCCATGCAATGATGAATAGCCAGAAGATGGAATATCCCCGGTGAAGGGCGCTAGGTCGAGCGAAATTTGCCCCTGCCATAATGGTCCAAAAGGCGAAATAGAAAAGCGATATCATCATGGCCCAACTGTAATTCATGTCAGCATCCTCCTAAAATAATAATTGTTCGAAACCTACACAGTATATTCGCTGCTGTATATAATCAGCGGGTTGATCTTTGCGATTAAGTATGCGGAACCGACAACCAACGCCCCAGCAACGACCAAAGCAAAAGGAAACCTAAATAGACCTTTTCGGCCACCTAGTAGAACCGGATCAAGGTCGGATCCTTCATAAGCAGATCGCCTTGCCGAGAAAAAATAGTACTTGTCGTTACGCACTAAGATGTACGTTAAACCAAGGAGTATTAGGGGTGTGGCTATCAGCAAGGTCAGAGACCACGCAAAGAAAGTCCGCAATTCAAAAACAGCAAACGTCTGCCCGAAAATATCGAACCAGACGCCATCGTTTCCTCTGCCATTCCATGCTTTCTTTCGATCGCCATCAGGGCGATCTCCGATGAATGTGTCACCAGTGTCTCCAGAGAGGCTTTGCATTGTGTGCAAAGAATTGCTGAGCATGTGCCAGAGACTGGCCCTCGATGCGTGCTTGGCGTCGTCTTGGTTGGTATGATACCTGGCACGAGGTCGGTAAAAGGCCATATCTAATCCTCTTAACCCAAAAACCCCATCAAAGACTATGTAGTCGGTGTTGCTTCTTATAGCTCCAAGGTCGAACGCATCAGATGAGATTACAGTCCCGAATGGGTTCTTGGTGCCCTTATATGCATTGGTTATTTCAGCGTCGGTTGTGCGGAACAGAATAGCCCGGCCACCAGCACCGGCGCCCTCGAGATTCAAGAATGTGTGGCAGAAGGGCAGAAGAGGACTGTTGATAAAGGCTTGAGCGCCCCATAGTCCATCCTCCTCGTTATTGTTGAATAGGGCAACGATGCCTCTCTGGGGTCGGTTTTCCGGTCGTGAAAAGTAGTCGACCAGTGCTATTAAAGTAACGCAGCCCATTCCGTCATCCGTAGCACCATATCCAGAGGCAACGCTATTCTAATGTTAGCTTAATACCACACAGCATCTGGCAAGACGTACGAGTCGTAGTGGGCATTCATTAAGACGCCTCCCCTTCCTATAACTTTGTCCGACGTTACGGTATCATCTTCCCACCACAGACCTTGCGGATCATCCTTGCCTCGAATGTATACTATAACATTTGTACCCTCGAAGTAGGTGCCGGTGGAACTTGAGGCTCCAAATACGATATTGGCCGTAGTGATATTTGAAATGTTGTCTGCGAATACGACCATGCTCGAATCATTCACCCCATTGCGTTTTTTGATATCATCTAATTCTAGTAAGAGCCAATCGTGAATCTCATCATTCTTCCGGCTGTTGAATGGGTGGTAGTCGCGAGACAAGACGGTTAAGTCAAACCAAGATTTGGTGAGGTTGAGACCTGAGTAGAGGGTCGGATTGCTTGGGGGGGCCGGGACGGTTTCGTGGACGATGAGTAACGGAATGAGCAGAGCGACGTAAGCGATCGTAGTCCAGAATGTTACAGCGAATGGTTTGAAGGCGAAAGGGTTCGATACGGCCATGATTGGCTGAGTTGGCAGATTCTGCCGATTAACCTACAGGACGAAATATTGCTAAAACTATAAGGCTGCAGGAAAAAGGACAATCAAGGACCAGTGAAGAGAGAGTCGGACGGGCTCTAGGTGGGGATGATAAACATCCCAAGAGATGCAGACACGAGAGTAATAGGGCACATATACTGAGGCACAGTACAGAGGATGACGGATGTATTAACTAGGCTGATGTACGCCAAGATATATTGATGTTTATGTTTGGAGGTTGTCGGACTGTTTATCGAGTTCTCGTTAACGTTTTATAAATTAGGTACTCCATTCTTAAATCGCAATTGCCTTAAACGTCGTTGACTTAAATGCATCGTCTGGAAATAGAAGTCTGTTGTGGAGTTGGGGAGAAGGTTGGTAGGTAGAAGTTGCAGGTTACGACATTAGAACAATTGTGAGAGCAATTAGAGCGGGGAGTGGCCTAAGCTCCCAGGATACAAACAAGAAAATTGGGTACTGCCTAGGTACATATGCTCATGTACATCTATGGGGTACACAAGGTATCAGCTTTGTCTATCGAATCTCGCGTCCCTCGATAGACAGCGCGAATACATAGGAGGCATGAATAAAAAATACTACGGATCCGTAATGTTAGTAGCATAAATCTTCACTTTAATCAAGGTACACATGGCAAATATAAAGAAAAAAAATCCTCATTGCTGCCTACGGTTTAGTCCTATAATACATGTGCGCAACCACCCTACTCGCGATAACTAGAATCGTAAGTTTATATTCCTCGAATCTGCATGAGACGTGGAAAGGCACTGGTCTGAAGTGATGCATACGAAACGGTTAGTACGAAAATCTGAAAACAACGCGCGACAGCAAAATCGTTAGCAGTGCACGACCACTTGAACTAGATACAGTGTATCAAGGTCAAGCAAGTTAGTATCGGTATGACAGGTTGTTCTGTATGCTTCCCACGCTCAGGCACCAGGAGGAGGTGGCGGCGGTTGATCGCCGGGAGGCGGCGGAGGAGCCTCACCACTAGGAGGCGGAGGGGGAGGTACCGCTCCGTTGGAATATTGCTGGATTAGAGCATTGATGTTTCCTGGTGGTAGTCCAGGCGGAGCACCGAGAGATCCTCCCGGAGGAGCAAGACCAGGGGGAGGTCCCATACCAGGAGCTGCACCGTATCCTGAATAGCCGGGATAGCTAGGGTACTGAGGCTGCGCACTTGATGCTTGATGCCAAGGCGCGGCTGCCCCAGGAGCTGGACCACTGTTATAGTTTTGACCTTGGCCACCGTAGTAATCACCCCCATGGTTGTCATCGCCACGACGGCGGTCGCGCCAGGGAGCAGAGCCACCGCCTCCACTTTCGTTGTTCTGGTCGTTGTTGCGAGAACGCCATGGAGCAGCAGCGCCTGTCGGACCTCGTTGCCAAGGCTTTGCGTCACCACCACCATTGTTGTTGTTGTAGGAGCCGGGTGCTGCTTCGATACGAGCTGGAGTTCCACTGGAGCCACCTCCAAGTTCTTCAAGGAATTGCTAAAGATCCAGTTAGATAACATTCTGCAATTTGCTTGCAATAAACACATACCTCGTATTCACGATCGACGGCATCTCCACCGCCAATGCGACCAGCAGCAGCACGGGGAGGGCCGTCGTTACGCCAACTAGCACCTTTCTGTCTATCGGGACAATCTCGAGCCATGTGACCAGCATTACCGCAGACGCGACAAATGATGTTGGCCGTGAAGTTCTGTTTCTCGGGACAATCATACTTCCGGTGACCAATTTGGCCACAGTTTTGACAAGCCTGATTTTCATCATCACGCAGAGTACCGTTCAACGTGGCTAGTTCTCGAAGCTGGTTTCTCTTGAGTTCGTTTTGTCCCTCCGGAATTGATGCAGCCTTAAGTGATGTTAGTATATAGGTATTTAGAATATAGAGCACATAAGGAACGTACGGTTTCGATGACATTGTGGATCAGCTTTTTGGCCTTGTTGACTTTTTCCTCGGTGTCTGCCATGATCAAACAATGGAGATCTTCCTCCTGGTTGCTGGCGTGGGCGGCATCAGATCGGCCTTTGCCTTCTTTGACAGAGCCTTTTCCACGAATGGCAATTTTGGCTCCTGATTCTGATTCCATTTTCTTCAATGTGTTGCCACGAGGACCGATGAGTAAACCAACTTTAGTAAGAAGACCTAAGTGTTAGTATTTGTAGCAAGACGGTTAGAACAAGAGTACGAGCTGGATGAGGCCAATACGTGGCAAGTCATCCATCGAGATATAACGGCATTCCAGGCGATATCCTGAACAAGAAGGGGCAAGAACATGGTTAGAAAGGTTAGAGGGTTAGCAATCTCACTGAAGTTAATCTCTGGATAGTCATTGACGGGCACGTAGACCTTCTCTTGGGTCTTAGTAGGGCGGCGGTAATCCTGGGGTGGGTGATAGTTAGGAATGGTCTTCATAGCCTTTTCAACAAGCTTGTGTCTCTCATCTTCGAGACGTTTTCGGTAACGGTATTCTCTAGTGTTAACACGGCGACCGTGGTTGTCGTATTGCGGCGGGGGAGATGGGGATCTGCGTGAAACGTTAGTTATAATTGCGCCAGCGATAAAATGTTAAGAGGACACAAGGCTAGACGTACCTATCGCCATCAGCAGGGACGACATCGTTAATGCGCAGCTTCTGGCTAATCTCCTCGATTCGAAGGTGTAGAGTGTAGGCTTCCAGTTGCTCGCTAGTCATATTGGCCACGATAGCCGTGGGGAGACCCATAAGCCCGGCAGCTTTGTTCTCGGACGCATCACCCCATCGATTTCTCTTCTTTCGGCGTCGAGGGCCATCGGCATCGGTTCCTAAAAGATTCGTGATTAGCTTCTACATCATAATGAATACTATACATAGCATATAGTGGATGGCCTACTTGGCTCGGGGCTGCGACCGCGCTTCAAGTCGCGGTCTCCATTGGAAAGGCTGAAGCTATCGCTTCCATTTTCGCGTGGCTCGATCGCATCGTCTAATTCGCCTCCAAATCGTCGACTTTTGCCGAGAGGAATGTTGTTGGATCCAGTAATTCCTTGATTTCTCCACGACATATTGGTAAGTTTGCACGTTGAAGAAAAAATATGTCTAAGAGAAATGCGTTGAAGAAATTAAGTTATCAAGATGGATAGTTGTTGGGTGGAATTATTTTGAGGCAACTTTTCCAGGCGCCACGCTTATGTAAACATCCAATTTTGCCCCAAATAAAGGTGGGGCAAGAGCGACGCTCAAGCCACTATGTATATTAGTCATGGTTGGGTCAAATGGGTACGTACCGAAGAACTATGAGCTGGATCTTTACCCCTTTTATTCGGTAACGTCCTACCGTTAACGCATTTACGACGCCCTAAGAGCGTACTTTACACGACATTCTACTCAAAAGGTTCATTTTATTTGACATGCTGATTTTTTATAAAGTATAATCATGTGCCTTAAACCAACATCTACTTTCGGTGCCGAAAACAGAGTCAAACTTCCGCATATTTCGTATTAAGCGCTACAAAATGGACTGATATAATTTTGGACTTAGAAATTTTGGGTATAACTATCTTCACACCAATCCATCGTAGGTAGTAATATCCACTATTCTTTTTTTTTTTTTTATCAGATTGACAGTATCTATCGAAATAGTTCAAGGACACTCCCCTTAGCCACTCTTTATGCAGCAAGCTTGTAGATTCAGGTAAGCCGCTACTTTGCTTCCTCCTTCATTGATGACTGGACCCAGTCTCTCAACGGAGCGGCCTGTTTTTCCATTTCCTCGTTGGAGATGGCCTTGTGCTGTTCATAGACATGCTGAGATGGCACATGGCGACCCTTTTCGACACCTGGACGCTTTAGCATCCGCTCCACCCATTCTTGCAATACCGGAAACTCAGTCATGTCAATCCCAGCCCATTCTTTACGTGTAATAGTTAGTTCATTTCTTGCAGAATCCATCGTAGCGATACGTACTTGCTGCTGCGACCCATCCCCAGCACGAGATGTCCGCGCTCGTGCATCGGTCACCAACCAAGTAGCCGGACGTTGACGATTTCAGCTGTGTCTCGAGTGTCCGATAGAGGCGGCGGGTTTCGTTCTTGTACCGGTTGATGCCGTATTCAATTTTCTCCGGGGCATAGCCTACTCATGTTAGGACATAAATCACTCAAGGTCGGAAATCTAATACATACGGTTGAAGTGGTTCAGTTGTCTACTCAAATATTAGTGCTCCTTATCGAATGTTCCCAGCGCCGGCTTTTACTCACCCTTGCATTGGACCAAGGCCTCCCATTTGCCACATGAGCTAAGTTAGGTGAGCAGTTGGAACGTGGAAGATATATAAGTGCACCCAGCTTACCCAGTTATTCACTTCATAGTACTCTCTAGATCCCTTTGGATACGAGACCTTATGTTCCGTATCGTATCTATCGGTTAGATATTGCATGATAGAGCCACTTTCAAATAACCTGATAGGCTTGCCATCGGTGAAAGTGTCCGTGAGTGCTGGGATACGGCCATTTGGATTAATCTCCAGGAACCAGGGCTCCTTCTGGACATTCGAGCTAATATCGATCTTGGTGACCTATTCGCTAATTAGACACAGATATCTACCGATTCGACTTTTAAAGGGGTAGGATGAGTTCGCACCTTGTAAGATAGCCCTAACTCCTCCAACAGGATTGATACCTTAACACCGTTAGGTGTTTGAGCGGTGTATAGATGGATGTCAGACATATTGTGGCAAAGATGTGTTGCAATTTGTTTCAATCTTGTTGTCATCCGACCCCGGGTTTACTAGTCTACGTATGATCAATGCCAAGACAGGCAAAGGAAGAACAACGTTATTTATATCGAGTCAAGATAGTAAAGCCGATTAGCAATCAAGGTCACAATGACGTACTAAAAATACATATATATTGTATATATATACGCCGGATTAATAATATTCATACGGCAATTATTCCCAGATTAACCTTAGATTCTACACTAGGTTAACGGGATAATAAATATTAGCCAGTTGCGTTATTTCCCCGCTTTCTATGGTCCGAACGGCTTGTGCTAGCGACCCACATCGCTCCAGTTTGACTGAACAATCGGCCGACCCCTATCGGCGTATTAAAAAGTCACCGGGATAGCAACGTGCAACCCGGCTTATTAACGGACATGTTTATGTATACGACGGATTAATAAAATGGCAGATGCTCAATTTGCTCGTGATCCCGCAAACTTGTATATTTATATTATTTCTCGCAGGATATCATACTTAAAATGATTAGCGTTATATACGTGCCTAACTAAGCACATGCCTTGTGTATATATCTTGAAGGGTTATTCCAGCATGACCAAACTAACAATGAACTGCATCTACGTTATAGGTAAATTTCTCTAGGTACCTCTTATATCTCATACTTTTTCTGAGGATTATGGTCCGGAATCTCAGCTATAGCAGAAGTAGTTGGAGGACCCAGGAGATATCTTATACCTAGCATGACTATTTGAACAATAGAAAGGGGTTAGTGAGTATATAAATAAGCTTCGTAAGAGATAAGAAGCTATTTACTTTCGTATCAACATATATAAACTATTGCTCCAAGCTTCACAGCGCAGAGGAAGTGCGCCGAGCTCATAAACCGGAGGTCCTCCGATCGAAATAGAATCATATCATATTTCTACTATTTACTAATAACAGACTATGATTGCTGTAATGGGCTGTCTATCATGTTCAATCCACAGTTTGCAAAGGATTATTTCACAACTTTTATATGGGCACATCCGAGCGAAGTGTTGTTCTAGCTTTCACAACGCTGGTAACTAGAAATTTATTGCTATTTCTCAAGATGGATGTATACCTACTAGCAAATCTTCATTACACAAATCGATGGAAACATAATGGATTCAACCCTCTATGGAGAGATAAAGCTGCCCTTTTGAGGCATGCTGGATATAAGTAGGAGTTCTTGACGGCTAAGTGCTATTTTCTCCTTCAACTGACTTGCAGGTAAGAAAAGATGACTCTGGCTGCTACATCGCGATGAGAATAATTTATAAAGGGGGGTAAGAAAGTTTTTTAACAATGAATTCACTACATTTTATAGTCCAGTGTTGTTAGCCAATGGTTTTAGGGAGTTTTGAGTACCTTGGGATTGTATTGGTGGGCAATAATCTTAAGGGGAAATGGTTTGCTAGCATTGTTGAATGCACTATATTCGATTCGAATGTTCGACCTTGTGGTAATCAAAGCTGGCAAACCTCACACTTCTGCATACATGATGCACTGACCTTGCCAATTACTCATGCACCTTGAGCACCTGGCACCTGCTCAGGCACGTCACCAACCTCGACGTCGACAAATGTTTTCCATATCCAACCCCACATTTATCTGGTTTCCATGGTATCTGACTCCCATAGGTACCTACACATACTACCTTACTCAGTTACTCTCCTATTTATTTCGAATATTTCGCATCTTGTTTTCTTCATACGGGTCTCTATTCAACTTTACCTACTTAATTTCGAGAAATAATAAGTAAGAATCCCTTTGAGCTATCATTCAACAAGGCGCAACTATGGAGACTACTAGCAGATCTCAGCAGTTCCGTTTACCCATATCCAAGAGCTTCTCCTTTATCATTCCCGATAAGTGGAAGACTAACCCATCTATCCTTCGCTGGATCGATAACGTTCCTGGTCCCGACAAACGAGAGGAATCTCTAGGACCTGCGCGCATTCAAACCCCCAAACGCGCCTTTGTAAGTAAACACCCGACCTAGGTTCCAGCAACCTCACTAGCTAACGCCAATTAGGAGACGCCCGATATTGGCGACAGCCGTGACGACGATAGCTACCACGCCAAGCGGACAAGAATGGGTTCTTCTCTAAGTAACAAGGATGCCAACAACAGGCGTGCAAGCTTCGCTTCTTACGGCCGTGGGCTTGTTCGCCGAGCTTCTAATATATGTCGCCAAGTTATTAGCTCTGAGAAACCCCAAGAGACCTTTGACGGCTCTACCGTTCGCGGATCGCTCTCATTGCCTGGATCACCAGCTACGCTCGTTGATCGTCCTCGCATGAGATTCGTCTTTGTCGGAGATTCTGGCTGTGGAAAGTCAAACTTGTTACTGTAAGCCACTACTATTTTCTTATAGTTCCCGATATTAGTATCGCATGACCATTTTGACGTGTACTAATACGCTCCAACCCCAGCCGTTATTACCGCGATGCGTTTAATCCAGTAAGCCACCCATATTCAAACTTATAAAGAGAATTCTTGGCGAAGGGAGTCACCTGCTCACATTAGGCAGGCGCATATCAGAACCCATTATGAGCTGTTCAACAAGGTCGCCGCAGTAGATGGACAGGATTTCGATCTTGAACTTTGGGACACATCTGGCGATCTCTCACTTCACCAGCTCCAACTCCTTTCCTACCTCGCGTGGGATGCTGTGTTCCTGTGCTTCAGCATGGAGAATATTGCGCGCTTTAAGACCGTCCAGAAGAAGGTGCGTCGCGATTATAAATTTAACTACCTACCAACCGTATTATACATAGGCTAACTGTAAGGAAATATTTACAGTGGATGGACGAAGTCTACAAGTACTGTGGCGATATTCCGTTTATACTGCTTGGCCTGAAGAAGGACACATTCACCGGCTCCAATATGCGGGCCCCTTTCCATCCAGACTTGAATATTCCGGTTTCTACTACCCAGGTAAGAACAACTCTGCCCACCCCTCTGTTTACTCACACCAAAATTTTATATTTGACTAGAAACAGACTGACCGGAAATATGTAGGACTCCTCTGGAGCGACGATCGTGCGCGGAATCAAGTACATGGAATGCTCAGCCAAAACTGGCGAGAACGTGAATCGCGTGTTCGAGGAAGCTGTCCGAATGGTAGTCTACGAGCGGGAAGAACAAGAGGCGCTTGCCCGGATTCGCCAGAAGTATGGCGAGTCGGACTCTACAGGCTTGAGCTTAAAGACGTGCTTCAAGTAAGCAACGAATAAAACGTAGTGATAATTATCGGGCTACATTAAAACTGCCGTGAGAGTATATCTACAGTGTAACGGAAGTGAGGCACCTTCTGTATTGTGTAATGTTCTATACTCGAAGGTATTGCTAGAAGTGTTGGCCGGCGTAATGTCTTGTACCTATAATGAACAAATGAATCCGGTAACCACTTGAAATACTAATGTAATAAAATAAATATTACAAGCGGCCGGGTTCTTCCTTAAAGGAAGAGGAGTTTGCACGGATTTAATGCGTGAACATTTAAACCTAGCGGTTGGAGAGGCTCATCATTTGTTTTTATGCGTATACCTCAAAGGCGAGCAGCTCAAGTCGCTTGCTGAAGTATAATATTATTAAATTTCAATCTCTTTACAGTTCTGTTCAGTTATTTACATTTCCTATTCGTAACGTATGAACTAATCTCTTCGTACTGCCTATATATGGTTGGCAAAAGGATAATAAGTTAGGCTTCATACATTTCTCACAAAGAGGCGGTTAATTAAGTCGTATATGTATAGTTCATATACCTTGATCCTCCTCAAATAGATTGACAGATTACGCGACTTATTGGCCTAGGTCGTACAGATTGTGACTTGTATTAGGTTAGGTACCCAAACGCGTACTCCGAATCGGATTGATGTCCTTGATTGATGCCAAGCGAATAGAGTAACCCGATGAGGTCACATGACCTTGAAGCTGACGGACCAATTGTATTGCGATAAACGTTTTACGCGCTTGGCTTGTTATTGTGCTGCTTGGGAGTCTTGAAGCGCAGCTGAACAGCTGAAGAGTTGCACCTCCACATGTGAGATTATGAGGTTATTTTAAGAAACGTATGTACTTTGTATACCCTTCCGTTAGATACATAAACCCCACTACGGGCTTCGCTTGACTTCTAGATTAGGAAAATGCCGCGGCTGCGGCCCCACCGATGTCATCCTCGGACAGGAGCTCAATGAATACACACATTCCCCTTTCAAACCGAGAATGAAAAGAAATAATAAGCATCACAGCAGCTTCACAAAAAGTAGAGAAACTTCAGTTACCCTCGATAAAGTACAACAAGGTGCATAGTATCAAATTATATCCAAACATGGCATCGAACGAACTATTCAAAATTCCCATTCCGGCAATCAAGTCGCATCCGGGAGGCAACATCGTCTGTACATCTCCAAAGCCTCAAGTCTATGTTCTCACATGGACCTCCCCGCCAGACAACAGGTTTACACCCGCCTTTAATACGGCGCTGATGACGGCGCTCGATACCATTGAATTCGGCCATCCACCAGGTGTTGTTATAACGACTTCATCCATTTCTAAGTTCTACTCCAATGGCCTCGATTTCAAGCTTGCCGTATCGTTACCCGGATTCTGGGAGAACAGCCTGTACCCATTGTTTCGACGGTTCTTAACTTATCCCATGCCAACAATCGCTTTGATCAACGGCCACGCCTTCGCCGGCGGGTTCATGTTAGCTATGCATCACGACTATCGAATCTTCACAGGCTCAAAGGGCTACTTGTGCATCAACGAGCTCGAATTCGGCGCGCCACTACTACCACCCATGAGTTCCATTTTCAGGATGAAAACTACTCCTAACGTATATCGCAACATGGTTCTCGAGGCGCGACGCTTTGATGCCAAGGCTGCGCTAGAAGCCGGCTTGGTGGATGGCATTGGCGAGATGGATACAGCTCTGAGCTTAATTGAGGAACGGTCGCTAATCAAGAAAGGATCCACCGGCGTCTACGGGCTGTTGAAGGCTGAGATGTATCGCGAGAGTGTAGCACTGTTAACCGCCGCGGGCAAAGAGGCGGCCAAAACTATGGACATACAAGAAGCTGAGAAGAAACGGAAAGAAGAAGGCGCAAAACGATTCAAGGAAGCACAGAGTAATAAGGCAAAATTATAAAGTCTTAATAACTTTACTTATGTTTTTCCAATTGCTAGTTTGACGCTTTTGAATATGTATTTCAGCGCAGGTGTGGTGTCGCATTTGAGGTTGTCGTTCACATGTTAAGGAGATTTCTGGACATATGCATACTATGTATATTAGGTATTTATGTATTTAGGCGATAGGCGACTGACGTCATCGGTACGTAAGGAACTCAAAGTCCTTCAACCCATACGCGAATCTTTAAACAGACTTCATGTAACTATTTTATTTATATGCTATGAAATAACCTTTTTTCAGTAACAAGTTCCTCTTGGTAATCGTTAAACCACACCTTTCTATTGGTAGGAGACCAGTTATGGCTTTACCACCAGATCCCGAAACCACTCCGCAGCATCCACTACTTCGGAATAGATATCGTATCCTTATCAAGTCTTATATATTTAATTAGTACTGCCACAATTTTTTCAACCAATCAGATACTTAGAATCGCCCCGCAGTTTGCGACTTTTCGCTCTGCCATTCTATCGCATAACGTCTGCAAGAGGTGCAAATGGTATAGAAAGGTCATGCAAAACGAGCTCTATCTAACGATACCAATTATTAAAAGTTTTATGTTCTATTGAAATAGGTCAATTGATTTTACAAAAAATTCATCGGACGTGCGCTGAGGTGTGGCTAGCCAATCAGAGACCAGACTTCAGCTGTGGCGTCAGTTTTGCGCATGACCCCCCTTTCCTCTTCCCTCTTCCCCCCGTACGCGCTTGCGCGGACGGGGAACGCTGCTAGTTGGGGTCTATCTTGCTACTACAACATTTTTCTTATACCGTGTTTACCGTCAGCCATTCTCAAGGGTGATCAAGTCTGAGCAGTACGAGACTATCTTCAAGGGTACAACTCTGGCCGCCGTCATAGGAGGGGTAGCTATGAGTAGTGCTGGAAGGGCAAAGTATCGGCAGTATAAGGAAGAGAGTCCTTCGATGACGGCAGAAGATCAGGCGACGAGGAAAAGCTCGTCGAAATGAAGGGTCCTTTATTTATTAGCTACCTACCTACCTAGGCATATATCATGATAATCGTGCAATATGTTGGGGCATCCGAAATCCCGTAAGCATCTACGCCGTAATTTTAGGTGCTAAATTATTTCTCTGCGTCTATATAAGTGATATACTAAGCTACCGCCCTGACCGCTCAATGCTGAAATGCTCGGGAACCTCAAGTTTGTAGATATATGATATACACGTAGACTTCGAAATCGTAGACAATATCATACCCGCCAGATACTCCTATATCCCCAAATGTTCAGTAGACCGAGCGAGAATTCTTCTATAGAAACTGTCTTCTAGTAATATTTCTTTCGTAGCAGTTGTGTTATTTTCCAATGAGCTCATAGTTGCCCTTTTTACGATATGAGCCTTTACTCTTGCAGGTAAGTGCAGGGATATCAGTCTATGCACCTCCCATTCTGAGACTCCTACTCCCTGGGAACGTCGAAGCGGGTCTAAAGCGCGATAGCCCTTGTCGATAGCATCGTCGAAAGTCGCAGCAGCAGCTCTAAGGAATGATGTTGTTAGAGCAGCATCAGGTGTACAACCCATAGCGTCTGCTTTCTCGTGTTCATCTTTCTGACTAGCTCTGCGCGGTTGTACGGGTTGTTTGCCGCGTCTGATATTTTCCCTATGTGCTGAAATTCCTGCCGAGGATTGATGATGCTGGTTAGTGGCAGTCTTATCCCAAATCAACTGCTGTAAACTGATCATTTTTGCATATTCGTTACTTTCCTTCCCTGAATTATTAAACGCTGCGTTAAGAAACTCCTCTGCTTTACCTAGGTTCCCTGTCTCATAATAGGATACTGCTAGACAGTAATATAATCGTAGAATACCACCGGGGAAATCATCATCGGTTGCAGATATAAAGGGATAGTAACTGAGAGCACAGGATAGAAACACCTGGGCTTCGTCGTGCCGTGCATTGCAGAAATAGATATACCCAAAGTTGCAGGCTATATTTGCGTATTCGGCCGCAAAAAGCCCATGAGGGGGTTGGATGGTAGATGAGTCAATGGATTCTCTAATAAGGAAATCGATATGGTCTATCCAAGAAAGGCATATTCTTGAAATATATGAATCCGAAGTAGTCCCACCCATTGGCCTGCATAGATATCAGTTTTATAATATCGGGAGTAGGAAATTCGGTAATTAAAACGAACCAGTCGAGGCTCCCTTCTCCACGACAGAGAACATTACCCAATCCCAGGGCAACAAATATTACCCACCGGGGTTCGCATTCGGACGGCGATTTTGTAATCCACTGGGAAACAGCTCGGTGCAGCAGTACTGACTCTAGATGATCTATGGATGCAGGTTTGATTTTGACCAGACAGAGGTCCTCAAGAAGAGTCATGTGGAGACGAAAAGTAGCAACTGACTTGGAGGAATTTTGTATAGATTGAAGCTCTATGTCAGTAGTAGGGATTTTGGAGTCGAATTGGAATATGTTTAGAAATATGGATATGGGGACTTGTGTAGGTCCTATGACGGCCAAAAGTCGAAGTATCGTTGCAGCGATGGGCGATTCCGTCTTGACGTTGGAATAAAGTATGCTAAGAACTGTATACATAGAGCGTGATTTATCATGTTGCACTTCCCCGGCTCTGGGAAGATGGCCCATAAGTTCCTTGTACTGTGTGTGGTACTCTGTGATAAAGTTGTCTAGACCGACAACCCTTCTCCGTAGCAGAATTCCTGCCTGCTCGAGAGCCAGTGGTAGACCTCCCAATTCTCTGACTATTAATATGGCATCGCTGGATCGGTGGGACGGGACTGATATCCGAGCTCTATCCAAAATTAACTCTGCTCCATCAGCGTCACCCAGGTTATCAAGTTCGATACTTTCGAATCCATATGGCTCGAGGATGTCCGATGCGTCTCTTCGCATACTTGTTACAATAATTGCGCCGAAAATACAATCGGGAATTAGCTGGGCTAGGTTGATGCTGTTGGGATCGTCGGCACTATCAATAACTAGAAGCCAATTCCGCTTTAGAGTCGATCTTAGTCTTGCCAACACGAAATCTCTCTTGTTCTCCCCTGAGTACGTATTCGACCTATCTTTATGCGTCCATGAGTTGGAAATCATATAGAAGGCATCGGTAAGCGATTGTGTAAGTTGCTCAGATGTAGATGCGTTAATCCAGACCACAGCACTATAGAGCTTTTTCTTATCTTTAATGTATTTGAGAGTAAGTTGTGTCTTTCCTGAGCCTCCGATACCAAAGATTACGATCCCGTGTTGTCCTGGTAGAGTGGGATCGAGTACATCAAATAGCGTTTCAAGCTCCGTACTTCTACCATAGAACGTCGGTGTGGAGATAGGAAGTTCAGATATTATAGGAAGCTCTGGTTTTGACCCTATGAGCACTGGTCAACTATCCTATCATAGCACATCGTTATGCTAACACAAGTACTAACGCGTAATTAGTACCGCTTGAACCAATTCGGTTATAGCAAGGCCAACAGGGTTAAACCGCTCGGTTTCATGGTCACCAAACTTGCAAATGGTTCGATGATTAGACCCAGGCATGGGAAATACCCGCTCGTTAGGCACATTGTTCCGCACCGATGCCTCGTCAACAACCTATTCAAGTTGGCGACTCAAGTAGAACGATCTAAGCCAACTTAACTTCTCACAACACTTCTTCCCATCTTCTCCGTCTCATATGCACTCCTGAATACCATATTCTTTCCTCTTTGGACAAAATCCCTTTAAATTTTCATCCAGTCCTTCGAATTCCTTTCCAGAGCGCCTGGTATTCCCGGATTTCCAGCCATGCCTAGAGACAGGGCGCTAGCTATACGGGAACCCAATACGGCCCAAGAGGCAGCATCGGCACCATGGAATGGAACTGCAAGGAATAAGCAACCGGCTGTCTTTCTAAGAATATCTTGGTAGTATTCATCATCCGTGTGTGCTATATTGATAGCCTATAAGACGCGATTAAATTTACGTTGTGAACATATTGATACGCTGCATCGGCCTTATGAGACAGTTGTTCATAAATCCCAATGAAAGTTTTACAGTATTATGATATATACTTACTAATTTAACAATAAGTCCACCTAAGCTATGCGCGATAAATATAATAGGGGCCCGCATTTCCTCTTCTGTCTGTCTTGTTATGCGTATTCTAGTAAGTAGATCTTGTGCGCCAGAGTCAAGGTCGGACGTGGAAGACGTAAATACGAAAGAGGCGTCATAGCCGAAAGCCTGTATACGGGGCCGTACATTAATACGGGCTAGGACCTCTGGTAGTCGGTCACGTAACCATATAGCAGGGTCTTCGCTATTGTCAGAACTCCACGTCGTCCGCCAACTCCCTCCAAGGCCGTGGACGGCAATAATACTACCAGTTGGTTAGTACTGAAGGCTCATGTTAATACAGCTTCCAGTAACGAACTCAACTATTTTGGCATCCGGAGAGAATGAAGTCGGTCTGGGTTACCCTGGCCGGGCAGGAAACTCGAAGAGACCGTATGACTCCATATCGTGCAGGCCATTTTGTATAATCGAGACAGGCTCACTGGCTTCTAGAGGACTTACTACCACATTAGTTAGGATATAACTTTGCCATTAATAATCAGGAGAATTTTTACCTCGACTTAAGCTTCCTAAGCTTTCTCGAGGCTTGACTCTCTTCCCGAGTCTATTCAAGAATGTGCGCACCCTCCTCCCCTGTTCCGACATCCTGGCAAAGATGTACCGCCACCAGAAATTGCTAGAGCTCGAGGCTGAGGGCCTTGAATTGATTAGCTAGTATGGAGAGTCGGGGAAGTGGGGTGAGAAAGAATCATCTACATATTTGAGGGTTTTTCGCCCGACATGATTGTCGGTCTTCATTGATAGGTGGCCTTGCGAATTGAGGACGGGAGTAATTTGATTGGATATTGATAGATGCCTTCATATGCATCTACTTAAAGTACCATGCTTGATATTAAGCCTTAACATAGTATCCATTGTCTCCTAGAAGTGAAGCATGGAATAGACATGTCTTTACAAGTTATATAGAAAATAATGTTACGTGATATACTTCGAAAACGAAGACCATGGAATGATCATTAAATAAATACCCAACTAAGGATTTTGAAACACTTTCATCCGCAGTATTCTGAGTTGATATGAAATCAGCTTCATTACCTTCGGTTAGGTACCTAAACTATCCTTTAACATGGTGATGGAGTCGAGACTATAGCCTGAGACTATAGCGCCACAGGGAGAAGCTATAGATAGTGCCCCTATTAGTCGTGTAATGCTTTATATTGTAGTTGATTTTAGTATAAATTCTTATAGGCACCTAGGTTAATATCACCCTAGGGGGATATGATATGTGTATCTTTTGGTGGTGGTACAAAAGTCTTCAGACCGCTTCGTATGTATGGACATACCCACGCGTTGTACTGTATATTTACATGCGTGAAATAAACACATGCACCGTGACCTGGTAAGCCCAACTGAAGGTTAGTCAGAGTAATAATTGGCTATTTTCTTGTCATTGGGCATGCTGTTATTGTCGTCTTACCACCATTAATGATTGTGATATTCCTTGACGAATAGGCCGAATATGTTCCTGAAAGAACGTCATAGAATTCTCAAAGGAATATATTATCCACCACGTAGGGTAAACTAAACGGACTAGGTACTCCAAAAGTGCACACTTAATTATTCGTCTGCGGGAGCGCCAAATGTTAGTTGGGATATAAAGTACTTACCAGGTATTAATTGCAAACCACTTCAGAAGCTTTAACAGGTACCTAACTAATCCAAGTCTTGTATAAGTCTTGTATAGAGCTACAAACGCCACACATATCAAATATTGAAAGCCAGCAGGTTGATAATGCCTGATATAAACAGCCACATAATCCTACAATGTTGTACAGTACATTGCAATACATTACACGTATGTAGATACGAAAGAGAGATCTTGATGGAGGGGCATTGCGTATGTATGTAGATGTTGATGTGCTGATTGGCAGGATTGACCCGAGCGGACTTCGGGAACTACAGGGGCATAATAGTGTACATACTGTCATTATCATCATCACCTGCAAGTTCCAAGTTCCAAGCTGGACTAGCAACCCCACTAAACCCACCTTAAGCCAGCCTAAACAAGCTCATGGCAAGCCAAGGACGAGGGACCCACCGAAAAAGCAGTCGAAGCTACCCAAGCCCGCCAACTATTTGTAAGTACCTAGGTACCATGGTGCTTAAAGTAACTGAGTAATGGCATTGTTTATGTATTGTCTCAGCCCCTCGCTACATAACTAAACCCTTTGGTTGCTATGGCACTTTTTGAACTAAACGAAACACAACTTTCTCATCTCTCCCTCACCTCACGTCCAGGTTTTCCAACACACACAGTCGCTTTAACTTACTCTCATAACTTATTCTCATTGTACAATACATTATTTGCAATTCTCACATTAGGCATTGCATTGTGACAGACAGACACCTGGTGTGTTCTATTATGTTACGGCGTAAACGGAAATGCTACTTCAGATTTGTGCAATTTGTTGTCGCATTATAATCCAACATACCTCATAACCTTTCTTCTTTCTTCTTACCAGATTCTACTCTTGCATGCAAGTTGCTTACGTCGTATGGTATCTCAACGTCAGCATGAAGCCTGGGCCAGGCCCTGATCAATTTAGGTGAGAATTCATTTAATTGAATACTTGAAGTGTTCGATGAGGTGCGAATGCGGTGTGCGGTGTGATGTGTACTGCGTGGTGGACATTGCTTTGCTGTGTGCTGTACTGTGCTTTAGCATGCAGCCAGCGCCTTGAGCATTGACCTGTTAGCACGACCGTCAGCCCACGCTCTCGGCGTATCTTGGCTCATATATATCTGTATAATACCAAGATTTATCGAGTATATAAAGTACTGGAATGATACTGAGACTGACAATATTTTATCTGGCAGATCATGACTGCCGTCAAATCTAACGATGAAGATGATCCGACGGATCCTCACCCTCCCCAAACTCCTCAGCCCGGTTCTGAAGCTAGCAAATCTACCCCCGATATTACTTCAGGAACAACTCCGACTCCGAAGACATCATCACCTGTCAAAGATGCCACAACTCCTAAGGCTAAACCGGGCTCTGGCCGTCCACGGTCTGCTACAACAAAACCGGCCCCTACGCTCCTCGGTGATTTCTTACTGGGCCGACCATCTCCAGCACGAATCGCAGCAGATAGGCAAGCAGCAAAGGAAGCAGCACATGCGAGGCGGAAGAGTTTGGAGCTAGTAAAGCAAGAGATGCGTCAAGCAGCTATAATGCGAATCCAGGTTCCAGGAGGTGTGCATGAACGCGTTAAGAAATGGCAAAAGGCAAATGCTGCAGCAATGGCCGATGCCGACCCTTTAGCTCCTCCGACGGAACCAAGCGAGCTGAATGTCCAAGTAGATGAAGAAAGCGTAACTGAGGAAGACCGGGTGAGGATCAAGTCAGGACAGAAGAAACCGACGACGAAAGTTATCATCACTCATAGAACAGATGGCAATGAACCCAGGAAAAGTAACATAGAGGAACTAAAGCTTTCAAATGCGCCTAAAAAGCGAGTTGTTAGCGATACCAATTGGGTAAAGGATAAGAAGGCAGCGTCAAGAAGCCAATCACCAAAGACAAAACCGAACGAGGCCATTGGGTCACCAATACCGAAGGACTTCTTAAAACGACCAGCCTCTAATCCCTCTGTGTCTAAAAAGGTGAAGGATTGGGCCAGTAAAGTTGAGATTCCCGATGAATTGCCTGTCAAACGCCACAATGCACCAAGATCAGCGAGATCAACCGGCAGTGGGGACGGAATTCGAGTCAAACCTATTCCATATGAGAGCGACAATGCGAGCGGGAGATCAGAGCCTACCCGTGTCACAGCCAAGACTAGTAGCTCGCGGATTTCGAAAGAGCCAGAAGGGGATGGCATTCGTGTCAAACCCATCCCAAGCGAAAAAGACACAGCAAGTGGGATATCAGGATCTTATTTATCGGGATCCTGTTTATCGGGCTCTCATCTCACAGGCTCTCATCTTACCGCAGAATCCTCCAAGTCCGGAAAGTCTAGCAAGTATGAGGGCGATGGCATTCGCGTCAGGCCCGTCGCGAGTGAGAGCGACGCTACAAGCGGTTTATCTAGTTCTATTTCAATAGATACACCCACGCCACAAAAGCCGCAGCGACGGGAAAACCGTAACGCCCGGAGCAGGTCAACAAAGAAGAAAGCATATCAAGCTATGCGCGCGGCAGCCAATATACGACCAGCCCACTCTGATTTACAAGGATCAGACGATGCTGCTACAGTTCGAGCTTCTTCGAGGCACTCTTCAAAAGGACCAAGTACCCGTGGAGCAAGTTCTCATAGGGAATCGTCGCCATTAGAACAGGAAGAAGTGGCGGAAAAGCCTGGGTCTGAAAAACGTCGAACGTCTCCACGAAGAAACTCGAAAATGTCTCCCAAGAAACAACAGAAACACCCCCAAGATCCTGTCAAGAAGGATCATGCAGAGACAGAAACTATAGCGACAGAAGAAGTATCCGATAGTGAGTCTTGGTCGAGCGACTCGGTATCAGACATGCCATTTAGTACGCTGGCACAATCACTAGCAGAAATTCCTGTTGGATATTCTGCATTTAGCGAGCTGGACTTAGCTACAGGTTCAAGACGACGAAAGACGAGGCCAAAAACCAAGAGGCAATCCAGTTTCAAGGGCGCTACTCACGTCCTGAAAAAGGCATTGACCGAGGGCAAGAAGATTCTCGCGGAGAAAGTTGACCCTCCAAAACCCGTTGTCAACCGTCCTCCAAACATTGAGACCTGGCTTAAGGACACTGTTGACCCTTTCGTCAATCCTTCCATAGCCAAGCCCGAACAAAAGAAAGCAGACGAAGATTTACCAGATGAAAGCACAGCACGACAATCTCCACCCTTAAAACATAAATCTGTCGAGGCCAACAGTTCTTCCAACGTTAGCATGAGCGAAGAATCGACAGAGCCAAAGGGGATTCCGAAGCCAGACCACCATGAGCCTAGCAGAAGCGAAACTACGAGTCCCATCTCGGCGGGACTAAAGCGAAGCAGAGCTACTAGGCTCTCTTCAACCCCTTCGAAAAGTAGTATGAAGAAAGGTTTCAAGGAGAAGCTTATGGACGCATTTCGCGGTGAATCTACAGGCCATAGTCCTCCGCCTTTAGAATATCCAAGTTGTCCCGAAGTGGTGGACCTCGACAGAGAACGTGAAGATGAGTACCACGAAAGGCGGCGTTCTTCCAGTGCAAAAAGAAGTCCATCCCCAGAAGATTGTAGTTCATCGGTATCTTCCGAAGCAACCCAGCCAGAGCCACTGGCTTATAACAAACGCAAGCCACCAACTAATGGCTTCCATGAGCTATCGACGATTATATCCGAGATGGAATCACATTATGGACTTCAATCAGATCTCTCGTCCGAAATATCGCAAACTACCATAACCGAAAATCCTGGTTTGACAAGAAGTACGGCAGTATCCCGTAGGAAAAGCCATAGGTCCGGCCTTAAGAGGCGACTTACAAAACACTCAGATTTAGTGTCAGCCTTGTCTCTGCCAGATGACACTTCGGTACCTAACAGGAGGATCAGCCGTCGCTCCGCGCGCAGCATAAGAAGACCGTCTAGTCACCTAAGCGACGCTACTTTGGACGAACTTCTGCTTGAATTTGAAGACGATGAGGACCTTTACCAGCGAGAGCTAAAAACTCTTGTAGATGGAGTAATTCCAGTCCTTCTAACACAATTTGTAAATAATACGAGCAGTTTACGCAAAGATTTGTTTGGATCCCCTCCTACTAAATATAAGGAGGATACCTTAGATAAAGCTGTCGTTAACATGGGCATCGCCCTTGACAACCTCAGAAGCCTGCACTGCCAGTGCCCCCCACTTTCTGACATTTACAGGCTTCTACAATGGTTTGAGGCAGTTTATCCTGTCTACAACAATTATCTTGACGTATGGCGCCTTGGCTTCCAAGGCATTATCGTCAACTTGGCGCCTCGGTCGCCCGATGATGCCGACTCCCTTATCAATGCGATGCCTCGAAACGAGCAAGGAGATATTCTCAATGAGGATGGGGACCGCATAGATGTGGCTCATCTGCTAAAACGCCCTCTAGTTCGCGTCAAGTGGATTACTAAATTCATTAAGGTATGTTTCATTATCATTTCCCGAGCGCCCCAACTAAAAACAATCAGGGCTATCGAGCAATTGCTGGTACAAGAGAATTTGAATCCCTCGTTTCCAAGTGGGAAGCGCTACAGGAGAAGGCGAGGCGACGGCATAAAGAAGAAAACGCACGAGTGGTCGACGAGGACGCTAGAAACAGCGACACATCCCGGACACGCGACCTAAAAACACTAGAAGCTCTTGATAATGTCAAAATCGATCGCTTTCGTCAGGTCTACGCTAAAGATACCTTCACCTTGGACTTGCGACATTCGAACGGACAACGACTCGGGTGCCAAGTCGAACTCATAATTCGAGACAATCAGACATTCAAGTCAGATCCGGGTGACCTCCTAATCAGAGAGACTGGCAGTGCAGGGCGTTCGTGGCTTCTATTTGCCCCCATTATCGGTGGCCGTTTTTCTGCTCGAAGGGGAGATGATAAGTGCGAATTGGTCGTTATGATCAGAGGTTACAGGGAAGAATGGTTCGAACTACTATCGTTGACGGCGGACAGCCAAGAACAGGTTCTGGAATGGTTGGATATGCTAGGATCTACCCCTATCCCCCCTCCAATTGAAGGGCCAATGCCTTCAACAACAGAATCACTAGCACCGTCACCCAGATTAGCAGCCGGCGAGACTCCTATGGGCGAGAGAATGTTACGTCAGGCCTCCAGAGTCTCTTCAGCGTCAACCGGGCCTAAGAATCATCCCGAAAGCGAACCAACAACCCCCGAGCGTATTCACAAGGAAATTGGCAGTCCCCATAATACACCAACTTCTCCTAGAACTGAGGGTTCAACTTCTTCTCCTGAGGGAACTCCAACCCAGGATTCGTTTTCAAGGTCCAAATATGGGAACGAAGCCTACCCAAGCTCGTTGGATAATCACGACATTCTACCGTCGAAAAGATCCTCGTCAAATAGCAATCCCTATCGTGAAGATGGTGCGCCTCCTCCCCCAGTTCATCGGACATTCAGTTCCAAAAAGGCACCCGTACTTTCACCCCCAGCCGAACAATCCGCATCATGTCTTAAGCGCCGCACTTCTTCACCTCTCAAGCACGAATACCACCCCTCAGATATATCTTCTGAAGGCTCCACATCACCAATGTCTGTATCAGAAGATGGCACCATCTCCGAGGAGTCATCCGATGACGAGCTTGAGGCGGTGGATATGCCGGATACTACACCCGCTATCAGCATCAGGAAAAATAACAATATTCCCGCGGAGTCTATAGTCTCTGAAAGTCCTGTTACCCTTGCCCCTCCTATCCCCCTCTCACAGACCGGATTGCCCAAATCAGAAAACAAGCAGCCGGAATACGTCATTAAGTCCGTCGCTTCTATTTCTTATTGGGATAACAAGCATGGACGCTGGCAAGACCTTTGGCCTGATATCTGCTCTATTGTCACGACTCCAGGCCTTATTGAGGCGTACCCTTATCAAAGAGCACATCAATCTTCCAGTAGCCCGGCGCAAGAGCGACCCTTGATTGCTCTAGACCTCACACCACTGGTCATGCTACGAAACAGTACAGTTGTCGACTTGGAAATACGATCTCCCGTTCTCAGCTATTCCAGGCTCTACGCCAAGGTCCTCAAAATCGATACGTCATTCTTCCGCTTCCGAGTTCAGACCACTCCAGAGTGCGAGTCCCTCTACATGGCAGTTCACCGAGCCCGCATGGATAATGCGAAATACAAGGCGCTCGAGGAGGAAACACGTGTTAGGGCCTTCGGTCAATATCAAAACCCAGAGGTAGAGGCCGACGGAAATAGTCAGCGCAAAAGCTGGTTTGGGCGAAAGAATAGTTATCGCGCGTCGACCCGAGCTCCGTCGCAGTCTGCGGGTAGCATATCTCAATCTTCGGGCGTCTCTGCCACTTCCTTTTTAAGAAAGCTGATGGGCGGTGGCAATCAGTCATTCAATATCGCGATGTCCTCCGTCGATAGGCCACACCGATTCAGCGGTGGAGACGCATCGTTATATACCTCATCATCATCGGGCACACCACCCCGCTCCCCCTCCGTCAGCATCGCGAACAGTGGCAATACCAGGGCAGATCTCACAACAAACAACCTCAAGATTCGCCTCCATCTATTAGTATCGGCCAGCAAGTGGGAGGATCATGGCAACTGTCTGCTCGAAGTAACAAGACCTGACCGAGGCACCAGACAGAACTTGCGGAAGTATCAAGGAATGGAGAAGCGAATCGTAGTCACGACAATCCCTAAGAAGGATACGGACAAGCCGGTGGTCGTTCTGGATGTCATACTAGGCAGCCAGTGCTTTAGCCAGCTGGGTAGCAGAGGCGTCCTCATCAACGTCTGGGAGGAAGTAAAGGACGAGAGTGGACAGGCGGGAGTCGCACCTCAAGGGGGAAACAGCGGAGGAAATGTACGGAAGTGGTGTTTCCAGTGTTCGTCGGTTTCGCAAGCTAGGTGGATTTTCGGACTCGTTACGCAAGAAGTGGTAATTGGTTGATTATTGGTTGATACCCCTTTTATATGTATGAGGCTATAACGCCGTTCCCTGCACACATTTTCTTTCTCAGATGTTACCAACAGACCTTTTCAGTCAACACAAATTTTCAACTTTACGAGGGACAAGGCGAGGCGTCGGACACATTGCATTAGATGTCTGGGGGGCAGACAGGGCGGACAGAGCATAAACGTAAGGACGATGGTATGGCCATATGCATGGAATGGTGTGGGTGGTTTGTTGCATTTGTTGCGTCCCCTCCGTCACATTTTTACTTTTGGTCGGATACATTGTGTAAGATAGGCTATGTACACAACACTCCAAGATACCTAATACTGAAACCGTCCAATTGTATCTCGTACCCCTTTACTTGATCGGGAGTATTATGTATTTTGATGCCCACCACCGGCCGGACGTTCTCTCGCGTTCGTCGCAGCAGGGGATTACAGAGGGTCTCGTAAATAGCGAATTTTAGTCAGTCCATTTAGTACCACTGTAGCACATCAGATTAACAGATATCGTACAGAGATGAAACTAGTTAAGATGGATATAAATAAACCTACCACAATTCCATTTTCCAGCCCGTTGGGCTTCATTCCGCTTTCAATCTTCCCGAGACAAGCGCGGATGCGTTGGACGAGCTGGGCGGCGTACTCGGGGGATGGGGGCTTCGGGGTAGGTATGCTAGTGTCGTTACGCAACAATATGGGGGCAGGGACAGAGGAGTCCGGCGGCATGTTCCCGTCGATGGCGGCCTTGACATCGGCTACGTCGTCGGCGCTCCAGGCCGCACCCATGATTACCGCGTAAGGTGTTGTGGAGTACGAACCGGTTCCGATGGTGCTGCTTTGGGCTGGGGGCACGTTGCCACGGAGGACTGGGAGGTAGACATGAATTAATTCACTTGATGCCTTGCGTATTTAAGTGATGGGGTCGTGATAATAGATAATTTAAGGATGTGAAATTCGGAGCCGGGATTATGGATGCCACCTACTGAAAGGCAGCTCGGCGGCTGTTGGCTTACTGCCGAGGCAGAAGAGGATTACTGGATGGTAGTATACGTGTTAGCATATATATATATTGTATCTTTTCGAAGTCTTATTTAGATGATCGGGTTCCTAGGTTATCCGATCTTTGCGGCTCACTCACCTTCATACTCGGGCTTTAGACCCTCAACGACCATTTTCCCAACTATTTCTGCCTTGCCACAGACGACGATAGGGATCGGTCTAGATAAACCGGCCATGGTGAAAAGATATAAGCGTGAAGTGCTAAATATTACCTACACTCTAAAGCCGGTCGAAATGATGGAGCTCAGGATAAAATCGAGACGGCCCTCACTATTATATCAGCTTCATTCGAGGCTGAATCAACAAGTCACGTTTACAACAGGGGTTATATACCTTGGGAATCGGTCGATGCTAAGATTCTAGCTCTCGTGTCGTCGGTCCCGAGCGAACCAGAGTCCAACTACCATTTAAGGCAAAGGAATGCGATGCTGATTGGTAGAATCGCGGGCTTGGGGTTACAGATGGCCGTCCGAATCTAGAAATCCCGTAAAAACAAGGATCGCGCAAAAGGTCCCTTAAGATTTCCTATAGATCCGGAAGTGCGCAGGCGTTATTCATTGGTCCTTGCCGTCTGGGATCTGCCCGCTGTGGAACCGGCGTCCCGATGAAAAGCTGCAAAGCTAGTCGTCGCTACTTCGCGAGGATATTCACCGCCGTTCGCTACTCCGGTTTTGGGTCGAGACATGCGTGTGCGCTATTCGATGCAGGTTTCAGGGCTTTAGGTAGTAGTTGGTTATATTAAGCTCGGTGCTCTTATTAACTGACCGATTTAATCCTCTTGCATAAGATGGCGTAGCTACTTAATAGGTATCTAACCTTCTTAGCTACACATGTCTCACTTACACGCATCTCTAACGAGAAACATGCCAGTTATCGCCAACTATCGGTGAAAAGGAAAAAAAGAAAAATCTACAAAGTAAGGCCTATATCAATCTCGTCCTATTTCGCCTATAAAAAGTATAAATCGTCGACGTCAGGAGCAAGGGAATAGTTGAAGCTCGACCGGCTGACAGAATCATCTCAGGTTCTCCATTTCTCCCATGATGGTCTATTTACCAAAATTCACGATGATTTCCCCGGTTCTATCTATATTCATATTGTCTTGCTTAGTATTAAGAAAGCTCTATTATCCCTTAACATAATCGAGGCTTTGGCGAAATAATATCATACGGATCTTACTTACGTCGATAGTTGCCTTTGAATGTACCCTTAGTTATTTCGAGGTCGCTGTGGACTTATATTCGAGACCTGGTTACGTTTTGCGAGTAGGTATTTTGGACTCGACGGATGAGAAAAGGATGCGATTATATTGAATCCGTTTGCTTAATCTTGTGATTGCCCATGTTGTAGTTCACGATATTTATGTAGTACCTGAGTGGAAATAGTGGCGTTGTTCTTTTGGGTAGGTCATATCTCGAGGTACTCCAACTAACATATAACATACGAAGAGAATATAACCTACGTTCATATCGGATCTTACGAAGGTTAATCAGTATTTTTAATAAAGTTGTAAGTCATATCCTGCTTTGACCCTTTCAATGAATAGTATTACTTTCTAAAGTCGATTATCCACAACCGGGTAGGTGTTTAAAAATCTGTATTTCTACGCTCAAGTCTAAGATATATCAAAATTCAATAACCCGTTCGGTTACTTCCGTGAATTTATTACTTACCCGGTTCCAATTTTGTCAAGGCCAGTGATGGCTGTTTATATGTATTTTAAAAAGATCGCTCGCTGTACATCTTGACTGGCGACGACATCTCGAAATTGGAACAGAATCAGTTTATCAGTGATAAGATAAGGTCTTGACGTACCTTACGTAGCTTTTTAGGTACCTACGTGTAGTGGGTACCCATAGTGGTCTGTGCGTACAAAGTACATCTCGAGCTACCTAAATCCATTCAGTCCATTGTTTTCCTGGCGAACGCGTCCTGCTATTCCAGGTGCTAAATTAATATAAAGCTTAAAGGTAACCTAACTTTACGTACCTTTTTTTGAGTAGGTACCCGCGCTGCGACCGATTGCCCATCCCATTCTCAATTCTTTACATTCCATCTTTCTCTCGTCCACCTTTACTAATTTCCACCAAGCACAACTACAAGGTCCGCGGTGCATCAACAATACCAATTTTCTACATCTTCATCTAAGGTTATATTTCATATAATCCTTTATTATTTCATCCTCGACAACTCTTACCACTACCGTCGCGTCGCGCATCCATCACGATGTCCGACTACGCCTCCCTAAAGGTTCCAGAGTTGAAGAAGCTCCTCCAAGAGAAATCCCTACCTGTAACAGGTAACAAGGCCGACCTGATCGCTCGTCTGCAAGATCACGACAAGTCCCAGAATCGTCAGTATTTAATTTAAATATCTTCATTTGTCGCGATGTAGCCTTTATCGTGCACATACTAATATCCAATAGCCGCTCCAGTTCGCGAAAACGAGGACGAGATTGATTATAGTGATGATGAAGTCCCGACCACGTCAAAGCCTTCAGAAACTGCGTTAGCTGCCGAGCCCGTTGAACCGACACCAGCTCCAGTTGAAGAGAAGTCTGCTGAGCCTACTGAGCCTGTGGAGAGTGCGCCGGACGCTGCTCCGACCACAGACAAGCCGGCTGAGGATGAGACTGAAGAAACTGTCAAGACAGAAGCTCCAAAAGAAGACTTCTCTGCGCACCTCCCTGCATCTAACGCAGATGAAGAGGCACGTAAGCGCGCCGCGCGAGCCAAGCGATTTGGCGTAGTTGAGAATGACGAGGACAAGAAGAAAACTGAGCGCGCCGAGCGTTTTGGTGTGGATGAATCCTCTTTGGTGAAGGGTCTCGATGCTGCGCTACCCGAGAAGAGGCCATCGAAGCGAGGCCGAGAAGGTGGTGGTAATGCCGAAGGTGAACGAGGCGCGAAACGACAAAACCCCGGTGGTCAACAAAGAGGCAAAGGTCGTTTCCGCCATGGTAGAGGCGGTCGGCCAAATAACGGTCCTCGAAAAGAGGGCAGGCCGACCGGCGCAAAGGGGAAGTCTGGCATTCTAAACGATCCATCCGAAAAGGCAAAGGCCGAGGCGCGAGCAAAGCGCTTTGCTGGTGCTTCTTAAACAAATTGGAGAAGACGTGCCATCGATCCAGTAGAACAGATCAAGACTAACTCTAGCAGTACACTTCAGGGAATACTACCTGGAGAATGTTGCTATAGTGCCCCATTTTCCTATCACCGCAAACGCAAGGTGCCGGACAACTTCGAGTCGAGAGGGATATTACACCGCTACTATGCACGATTATCTTCGGTTGCCGCTGTACACTAGTTCGTCTCCTTCGTTAGCCTATCGCGAATAATGACCTTCCGACATTTCTTGTTCCAGGCCTACGCTTAATTACATCATGAAATACCATGCCGTCGTTTCTATACTACCATTTAGGCGGATGATATTAGATAAAGTCTGAAAATCACACGCCTATCCTTGAATAAACGATTCACGTGAACGAATATTAGTCTGCAAAGTGAGCCCGTCAAGATCGACGCCCAGCGAACGCACCTTACCCGATTGCGTGCGACCTGATTTCGCTAGGCCCTTCGAAGTCCAATATCTGAGCGTTTCACTCCAGTTACACCTCTCTCCTTCCCCCGATACAGTGTAAAGGAGATTCTCAGCGGGGCGTTGGGTTCACCAGATAGCCGTATGAGATATTGGCGATACTTAGTCGTCGTTGGATTAAATGTCACCTAGATAATTTCAATATCAACATCTAGCTCGCATTGCACTTAATTTCGAAATTGCATTTTTGCACGATTCGTATCTTACATAATAAGAAGAGAAGACGCTATTATAGAATCCGAATTCGGCTGGTGTAAGGTTCCATTCTTGCTAGTCAGAACATAGAGGGGTAGTAACAATAGTGACCAAAAGGGGTTCCAAGCCAAATAGGGGTATTACGGATAGTAGACCACGAGGAGAGGAAGACCTTTGGATCATCTTACATTTGATCAGTATTCCTTAAGTGATATAACCAAGAAGTCACCCGGCATCTTCCCAAGAGCACACCACAAAACCGAGACTATAAATCCCTCTTGGTATCTCTTTACCTACCTTCGCAATAGCACGGTCAATCATGTCACAGAAAACGGAATGATAGCCAGCAAAATGTGAATTCATATTAGGTTCTGTCGCTAATTTGTAAGTGTGTTAGTAGTAAGTCGCATCGTTCAACCTTAACATGAAATAGTAGCGCTTCTTTCTCGAATCATACCCCCAGAGTCAATGTCCGGAAAGGTTCCAACCAGCCCGTGCGTCGTGTTCCATGTCAGCGAGGAATCGGGAACAAGAAAGTTCCAGAGAATCCTTTGCTTCCGAATTAGTATTCGACTTCCGCCATGGCGGTGGCTTCTGGGAGGCTTCCATCTTCGTACTGCGGCAATCGCGGGCGATGTGACCGTGTCCGTAGCATTTATGGCACACGATAACTGATGCCGGCACGCTGTGGGTCATGTTAATAGTTTTCCCTATACCTTCATCGTCGCGAAAAGTCCCGTTCGCCAAAGCGAGATCTCGGAATTGCTGGCGTTTTCTGTTATGTTCGTGTTCCGGTGTAGTAATGGCATTCTTAATGACTGCTCGAACATGTTGTTTTGCCGTATCGACGCTCTCCTGCGTATCCGCCGTGATGAGACAATGTAGAAGTTCCTGGTAAGCGTCAGTTATCGACTCGTCCGGGCCCACGAGGGTTGGCGCGGCCTTTGCCTTCTTTCACGGAACCTTGGCCGCGAATGACTGACTATAGAGGCGTGAGATTTGGTGTTCATCTGGCAGTCTGTATTATAGAATGGCGTTCCTTCTCTAGACGTTCTCGGTGGCGACGATAATGTGTGTTGATTCGTTTACCTAATGAGTCGTAGAGGGGTTCAGGTGATGGAGATCTGCGACGATGATTAGCGAGGGCAATATCGCCTACGTTAGGTTTTTAGGTGATCTCTTTGATCCGGAAACATAATACGTATGCGTCAATATGTTCGCTCGTCATAGGCGCCGCAATTGAGGTGGTCCTCATCGCGGTAGTAAATGCCCATGGGGATGGATCTACTGCTTTATAGGTGATTTTGGCTTGGTATGGACTAGGATGATTTAAAAGGGGTGTTAGGGCCATGGCCTAATAAACTCAAGATGCTCGATCACCCGAGCATCTTTAGGCAGTCTTTGTCTCTAGGTAATAGCTTAGAGCCTCGGTTTGAATGGTTCGTATATAATTACACTTTATATACCTGTTGAATAGCTAGAAAAGTTTGTTGCTGTACGGATACCCGAGAAGTAAGGCCACTCAGGTACCTACCCAGGGTACATACCGTAATGCGTACAGGCAAAACAACTGCTGACAAGGGGTTTTTTAAGCAGCAGTTTGGCTGAATAAGGGCTATTGTTGAGTTATTCAGATTGCATAGCCATAGCTATAGATTATGGGGTCACACTAAATGTTACCTTGCAAACCTCCTTACCTTGCCGACCATGAAGGGTTTCTTAAAAGCTACAACATTAACGATATGGACGGAAGTTTTCGTTAAATAATCATATAATATAGCCACAGTATTTGAACGTTTCGGACCCCACGAGTACCATCCTTTGTCTTCGAATTGATGTATCATCACACGTTTCCAGAAAGACACCTGGTAGTAAGGAAAATAGTCATGGCTACCTACCTAGGTATTTATCAGTATACGTATAAGCATAGCAATTTTTATATTTTATATTCGAGCTATACGTTCAGGGTGCAAACTTCCTATTCTCGAGGAATTTTTTGTTCGCTCACGCGTTGCCGCAACACCAGCTAAAGTTGCGGCTATTCTCCTTCGACTTAGGAATTCTCATCCCCTTTTCAAAGAGTCACAGTCTCGAATAAGGATGACACTAGAGGAAGCTCCAATTTTTATTATAAAATAGGGCAAAATAGAATTACATTATCGTCTTTATACCATACAACTCGGGATTGTAGCGTATATACGACAAAGAGAATATAATTTTATTCCGGATCCATATTCCTTTGTCGCCTCCCAGACGTTTCCGTAGCCGTCCAAGGCGTTATTGTCTCGATATTAACGTTCAATATAATCCTACAGCCAATCCACAATATGATCATGCAAACAATGCATTTAGATACACAAGTCACTTAATTATATCCTATAGTCTAAGCAAGTCGAAGCTAAGTATTCCTAATAATCATCTAACGTAGTTCTAGATTATTGCAACTAAGCCAACCTCACGATGGCGGCGCCGCAGTCGGGTGTTCCAAGAACTTTCGGCGATCCAAAAAAACCGCGTTATCGAAATTACCATCCTAGAGGGACGGTGAATAAGAAGGATCGTGCGAGCGTCCTAATTTACCTACAGGATATTCCGGTGAACGCGACCTTCCCACGTACCGGAGTATTAAACCGCATACCTGAAGAACTTCACCAATACATAAATTACGCTCCAATTGGATTAGAATTCCAAGACGGCCGTGTAGCGACGAATATCTTTGGTAATGACGCGGCTCATGAGTTGCTAGCTGAGTTCGACTCAGTCATTGAATTTTCGAATAACGGTTCACAATGGATCCACGATACACTAACAGAGGCTTTCGGCCGAGATGCCTTTCGTGGCTTAACCCTCCCAGAAATGCTGTCGTTGGTTAAAGGGTGGTGTCATGGATGGTTTACGGCCCGGAATCGATTTATTGAATTTGGAATGAACCATTGCGTCAGCGTTTGGCAACGTCCTGAGGTTTATGCAGCAAATCGGCAAAGAACGGATATAGCCAACGAAGTTCTTCATGCTCCTAACATCGAGTTTGACGCCGTGTGGGTGTGTGTCCCGAATGTAAACGTCACTGCGGAAGTTGGTCGGAACACCAGGGGCATGACAAATGCGGGTTTCCGAGCTTTATACCGCTTGAATAGAATTGAAGCTATTGCAATTAGTATGCGTGTAGATTTCTTCTACCGGGGCCTACTACTAAAATAAATACAAAGCTAATCTAGCGGTGTAGTGCGAATAGCAAAACAGAAAAGCCGCGATGGCACGAGCACTAGATACGGGCGCTTATTCAGGTGGATTGTTTATTTTATCAATCAATATACGAAATGGAAGGTCACAGTTTATGAACAATACTGCATGATGTCCCAGCGGAGTTATGATGACCATGCTGCAAAAAAGAATTTCCAAACCCAAGAGTGGGACAAGCATGGTGGCAAGACGATTGAAGGTATGTATAAACATGTTGTTACTCTTGTTAGACTTAGGTTCCTCGAGCCGTCGTCAATGATATTTAGCAGTTAATATTATATTTACAATAGCTAACTTTCGGTAGTAAGTATTGCAGCTAAGTAACTTTGACTCACGCCCGCGAAGACGTTTTTTTATTAGATCTCCAGAAGAGTAAGATAAAGAAGCTGACGGGATATTATTTGGTGTAATAGGTTACCTTCGAAACCTGGCTCTACTGGACTCTTGAAATGGTCCGATTTATCCAGGCTGGTCTGGATATACCAGCGGCGGTGCTGGCCGAATTTCACTCCGGTAGACAATTAATTTACGACCAGATAGGGTCGACGAACTTACCTCCACGTGGATTTAGGTTAGGTAGCGGGTTAGCTGGTAGACCGGAACATAGGGACTTTACAGGAAACACTATAATGGATATAAACTCTCAAGACTTCACTTACGAAGTCACCACGGTCTTACCAACAACACTCCCTATAGGCCAAAGACATCTTATGCGAGCAGACCCAGCTTGGTGCTTGGAAACCTTGCCAATCTACGCGTCTCCGAGGCCAATACCGGTCCCGCGGGCTCCGGCGCAAGCTTTCAACGATAGTGTAGATCCATCAGATACTTATGTCGCCGCAGCGATGGCACAGGTAGTCACACAGTCGGACGACGAGGTATCTTCCCAGGACTACGACGAGGAGGAGGAGCCCCCCTACAGTATCGAAATCCAGGACGGAGTCGGGCAGAAGCGGAGCTTAACCGCGCTCAAGGGCCGGACCGCACGCTTGACTACCTCCGCTCTGCTGCGAAACGCGCTCTGGAGCGCAGGATCTCTAAAGCGCCCGGCCAGGACGCCGTTGCGCTCGGTATTTTCCGGCCGAGTGGCCAAGAGGCGAAAGATCAACGAGCCTATCGCACCCGCCGCCGCCGAGGAGGAGTAGCCGTTAACACGCAGAAATTATGTGCGATTTCCAAGGGTTTTCCGGGGGTCGTAAGAATCCTCGAGGATACCCCCTTTTCCGCCCCGTCGGTGGGGCTATCATCACGGCGCTATTGCTTGCTCAGCATGATAATGGAGCATTTGAGGTTTACCTTAGGATATTTAAGAGGATATTGTGTTAGGCTATAAAGCATTGCCGTAGCCGGGAGACTTTTTATTTTCCTTTTCTAGTATTTCGTCTTATAGGGATTGGTTCGAGTTTTACGGATATTAAAACAAAATCGCTAGAAAAAAACACAGCTTCTTCAAGGCCTACTTAGGAAATTTATTCCACATCTACTTGAGTAGTGTCTTGCTTCGGTGGATGCCGGAGTGCACTTAGTGGGTGTATTAAGTTGGAAGCTTGAAGTTCAGGGTTCAGCCGAGAATGCAATGGGAACGCAGCGGGTTGGATATGAACTTCACTCTTTTGCGCTGGCTGAAGGGTGGCTTGTTGCAAGGGAATCGTGTACTACAGTCGAATAGGTGTTAGGATATTTTAATTTCATTAATCTCATTTCTTCGTTTTTTTGACATTCGCTTGAACAAAAACAAGACCGACGTAATGAGTAAAATGTTATATATGATATTGGACACATTGAAAGCAATTCCGCGTATTTTCCAAGTGTCAGTTGGATATAACGTATATCGTTAACCCCTATTGGTGAATGAGGACTCTTTTTTTTAAAAAAAGTGGTGGACGTAAGAGGTCCCCATCAGATTTTACCGTAACTGGAAAGTGGGAAAATTACAGCTTCACATGATTTTATGGGTCTTGGGCGAGAGAGAGAGAGAGAGAAAATTAACTGTTGACACTATGTATTTCGAGAATTTTAAGTATGGAAGTGATTTTCAATCATCCTGCCTGTCACATCTACTTGGTGGTGCAGCGAGCAAGCCCACTTTGATAAACCATGCCCGCCGACTTCGAGAAGCAAAGTTATTGGCACGAGAGATTCTCATCTGAGACATCTTTCGAGTGGCTAGCATCGTCACAATCTTTCATGTCCATCATAGAGCCTTACCTCTCGACGTTCTCACATACTGTCGAGAACACACCCCGAATCCTCCATCTAGGCTCAGGCACAAGTGACTTGCAGAACTGCTTTCGCTCCAGAGGTTACTTAGACGTGACAAACGTCGACTACGAACCGTTAGCTATCGAGCGCGGACGCCAGCTAGAGCAGGTCGCCTTTGATGACGTGAGGATGAAGTACATCGTCGCAGACGTAACGCAACTCGCTTGCGACTTCTTGCAAGATCAGAAATTCGACATAGTCGTGGACAAAAGCACTGTCGACGCGGTCTCCTGCGGTGGGACTGCGGCTTTTTCGAGGATGGCCTCTTGGGTAAAGAAATACCTTGCTGATAGTGGGATCTGGATCTCCCTTAGCTATTCTTCAGTTCGCTTCAATATTGAGCAACTTCCATTCGACGTCGAAGTCATAGCTAAGACCCCAACACCTAAACTCAAAGAGAGTGATCCGGAGATATACTATTATTGCTACCTTCTTCGGCCCAAATGAGTCGGAAAAGGACGTATCCCCTTGACTGGCATTCAACTACACCTCCACTATTTTCAGTATCAGTACTTAAGACTTGACGTCGTTCATTAGGTAACATAATGGGAAAAGGTTCGATAATTAGTACAAACCGTAAATATCATCGGTCGATTTAGCCATCTTTTCTTTCCTGGCCAATCCTTATGTATCAATACTGAAAATAGTGGAGGTGTAGTTAAATGCCAGTCAGGGGAATAATGCCCACTAGAGTTTATTAATTAAGAGAATTATGAAAAGTGATATTATATTGACTTGTCCTGTTTGCTATTGACTAGAGCTGTGACACAAACTACGTGTCGAAGGAAGAGGAGAATGAAGTATTATTTGTTAGTTGGAGACGGGACGAAATCTATTGATAAAAAGGCGGGAAAGGAAGAGAATATACATTGGTACTTAACACCAACCTATGGAAAGCTGCCAAACGTTATATGTAATGTGCCGCACTGCCGCTGTGGGGACTGACATGGAAACAGAGAAGCTAACCTAAAAGCTGTTAGGTAAAGCCGGAGCTTTTTCAGGTACCTTAAACTCGCTTGGTTTTAGCTGCGTCACTTGGGCTCCACTACAAATGGTAAGGACTGGGATATATTTGGTGTAAAGCATAGAGCGATGACCTCATACAACACAGCATGATCCAACTCTCCAACATGCCGCACATCCAATGGGCATATTCAATATATCTTTTTTGCGCCTCTTGAATCTTGACTGGTGATGCAAGCAAGAAACATGTTTCATGTGCATTCTTAATACTTTAATATTTTAATATATTTTTCTCTATCTCCTCTATAATCTCTGATCTCTATCTCCTACCACATAGACGCATTCCCAAGCACTTCCTGGGTCTTATTAACTATTATTTCTCTCCATGAATGATATCTAGTTAACGCTTGTGCAAACATAACATGACGAACCAGGCGGATTTTGAAAACGATGCGTCGGGAAGAGAGTACGGCAAACCTCACGATGCCAAACATAAAATCCCCACTGTCCAGAGTTATCGGCAACACAGAAGAGAATTGGAAGGTCAGCTAGAAGATGAGGAGCAAGCGCAACAAGGACCAGAGGACGAGTCGAGACCAAAGCGGGCGTTCCAATCTGCGAAAGCTGTCATCCAGGGTAAAGATACTCCCAAGTCTCAACATGATCCATACCCATCTACGAACCGTAATTATGCCGACAACGCCCCATATGCCCCAGAAGAAGAAGGAGAAGAGAAGGAGGAGGAAGACACTCGATCTAAAGAGACACATGGTTCTATATATGATACTGAAAGAAAGGAGGAACCTGATGATCATCGGGAAGATGGCGGTAGGAAGGGAGGCGAACAAGAAAAGTCGGCAACAGAAGCTGTAGTAAGTGCTGTTGATCCGAAAGAAAAGCGCAAGGCGATGAAGAAGACCAAGAGGCATGGTGGAGGACGTGAAGTCACCGATCCCGTTACTCATCTACCAATTGTCATACACGATCAGACTGAGAAAGATCTAAACTCTGCGCCTCAAAATATCCCAGCGCCAGGACTACACCATTATACTGCCAGCGGACCCCAAGGTGCTTCTAAGTCGGACCAAGAGTTGGCATCTGAGCGTGATGAGTTGCAACGGGCCCATAATGGGATGCAGAGGGTATTCCCGCCGCCAGACTTTGAGCGCACAAAACAAGGACTCGCCGCCATTTACGAGCAGACAGTCTATGTTGGCCTAGCTCTAATGGGTACTCTGGCTGTTGTTCTACTGTTAGCCCCGACAGTTTTCATTGGGCCGGGTTGGTCCGTCCTATTCAGCACAGCTATGTTTGTTTGCCTAGGAACAATGACCGTCATCGGTATGGGGAAATGGGTAAGTAAGAAAACTAGCGAGCTGTTTGAAGACGAGACTTGGGAAGCTGCGCGACGAGAAGAGCAGGCTATTCTGAATAATTACGAGGAGCTCCCCGAATCTGCTCAATGGTTGAATAGCTTGCTCTCGTCCATCTGGCCGCTTGTTAATCCAGACCTTTTTGCTTCCCTCGTCGATCAAATCGAGGATATTATGCAGGCATCCCTTCCCAAGGTTATTAAGATGGTCAGCGTCGATGATATGGGACAGGGCAGTGAGGCTATTCGAATACTGGGTGTGCGATGGCTACCGACTGGTGCGGCCAGTCAAACAGTGGGCTCTGATGACCAACTTCAAGGGGATGAAAAGGGGACCGGAAACGATCGAACGGACCCGCAAAATCCTCAACAAGGCGCCAATGGCCAAGAAAATAACACTGACGAGAAGGGTAAAGATCCGAAGCAAGAGGAACAAGAAGAAGTGGCCATGCGGGAGGGGATGGAGGCGGAAGAAGGCGACTTCGTGAATATGGAGCTTGCGCTCGCATATCGGGGCCGCTCGTCCGGCAAGTCAGTCAAGGACAAAGCCAAGAATGCCCATCTTTACCTAAAGTTTTACCTTCCAGGGGAGGTAGCTATTCCCGTCTGGGTTGAGCTTAAGGGCCTTATTATGACTATTCGACTCCGACTTCAATTAACACCAGACCCGCCATTCATATCCTTATGCACTCTAACCTTCCTCGGACAACCAAAGGCTAGTATCTCATGTGTCCCTCTTTCAAAGCATAGCTTTAGCTTGACGGATGTTCCATTAATATCTTCCTTCGTCAACTCGTCAATCGACGCTGCACTTGCGGAATATGTGGCCCCTAAGAGCTTGACTTTGAACTTAAAGGACATGCTCGTAGGAGAGGACTTTAAGAAGGACACGACTAGCTTAGGTGTTGTCTGGATTTTCATTAAGCAGGCGCGCGGCTTTAAACAAGGCGACGGTGGGATCGGACCTATGAAAGGCTCAAGTGATTCGTATGTCACTGTATCGTGGGGTAAATTCGGCAAACCAGTCGCTTCGACTCGCATCATTACGGGTGACGACAACCCAAACTGGCATGAATGGGCAAGCATTCTAGTGACTCCAGAGGAGGTAAACGCCGAGGAAAAGCTGCGGCTCCAACTATGGGATTCGGATAAATGGTCGGCAGACGACGATCTAGGTCGCGTAGAAGTAGACCTAAAGTCTCTTATGAAACGTCCGAACAAATCTCAAGACCGCGAGGATAGATTTTCTGGCCAAGATCCCGACGAGACGATGCCAGGATCGTTACAATGGTCTGTCGGATATTTTTCGAAGACGAGAATCACATCTAAAGAACTTGAACAGCAAACCGTCAATAGAGAAATACGAACTCACGATCAACTTAGACGTCACGTTTCGGAATTATCTGATCATAAGCTGCGGGAGGCCGGCAAGCCATCGGACGATGAAGAACTAAAGCAACAGAAAGCTCAAGACTACAGGGAAATTGAAGAAGCCATGATTATCTCAGCCCCACCATCTGACGAACTCGTCTCGGGTATTCTCAGCGTCCAGATCCACAACATCACGGGGCTCGAAATACAGAAACTTCAAAAGCAAGATAAAGGAGACGACGGCGATAATGAGGATGAAGCCGAGCAGAGCGATGACATGCCCGACAGCTACTGTACTGTCATATTCAACCATAAAAAGATCTTCAGGACAAGAACGAAGCCGAAGAATTCAAAACCTTTTTTCAATGCTGGAACCGAGCGATTTGTTCGGGACTGGAGAGACAGCGAGGTTATCATCAGCGTATGGGACTCTCGCGAGCGGGAAGATGACCCGCTGATAGGGATTGTCTATCTTCCGCTGGCGAAGGTGTTTGCAAAAAAGAGCCAGATGGTGGAAAATTATCCTTGTAAGTTGAGATTGAATCCTATTCTCGTATTGGGTTATCCTACCCAGGAGTATCATATCTGGACCCAATATTGCCGAAAAATTCAACCCTGATTTTGTCTCACGTCACCACAAATAGATACTAACATGGCATTATAGTAGTTGGAGGTATTGGATACGGTCGGGCTCGTATTAGTATGGTTTGGCGAAGCGTGGAGCTTAAACTGCCGCCAAACCTCAGGGGGTGGGATTATGGGACCCTAGAGATACGCGGATTCATTCAGCCGAAAAACGATTTACCTCGGTCCTTGACAGAGCATCGCATCAAGATACGCACGAACTTAGGAAAGGCGAAGATGTATCCAGAAAATGGCCAGTGGGTGTCTAAGGGTAGAAAGGAACACGAGGCTGTGTTCTTGGCAGTGCGCAATCGATATGCTTCGGCCGTGGTGATCGAATTTCGCGAGTCTATGCTTGGACCGGACAAAACAGCCGCCTTCGCGGTCATGTGGCTCTATGAGATCGCCGATGAGGAGAGTGAAACCCGAACCTTAAAAGTGTGGAAAGGATCGAAGGATGGCCTCCGTAAAGCCCAGTCATGCTGCGACTACAATGGCATGGGTGATGGTGAGCAACCTCTAGGCGAAGTTGAGCTATCGTTAAAATTTTGGCGTGGTCTATCTGGCTATCACAAGAGCTATGCTTCTCAGGCTAAGAATAATGACCTGCGGAATGTTATGGAATGCTTAGACACAATCACGGACGAAAAGCTCGATGACGACGAAGACGAATCTGAACACGAAGGCGATATGACTGATGACGATTCAGGAGATGAGACACGCAAGAAGAAGCTCCGTGTCCACACCAACGATGATTCGTCGTGCTCTAGCTCCGACGACGAGGGTGAAGGCACCGGATCCGGGACGTCGAGCTCTTCTCACTTGTCCGATATCAAGAAATTCAAAAAAGTCAAGAATATCTTTCGCAACCCGGTAGATGGAGCCAGCGAAGCGGCTACGTCGGTGCTTGCGCCGGGGCACAACAACCCAGACGATGCATCTAGAGGAGTCCGAAACCAGCTGCGCGACTACAAAGACCACCACAAACAGCTTCACCGCAAACATCGTGGCATTATGCAGTGGAGGGCAGCAAGAGAAGCTAACCACGTCGGGGAGAAACTAAGCAGACTCAAAGGAAACATCAGCGGAATATTCCATCACGGGGAAAAAGACGTCGGCGTCGAAACTGAGGTATGAGACCATATGTAGGTGCCTAAATGGAGTCTAGCTCCCGTATGCCGAATTCCGCGGACTACGGATGTGTGGGGTTCCGGAAGCGGAAAGGGGAAGCTGAAAAGGGTTACAAGAAGTGTGGGAAATGTCTATGCGCGGACATGTTTCACCTGCCCATTTTTTGCTTGTAGGGCCTTTTAATGATGCCAAGCTATAAGGAGAAACGAAAGCTTCTATTTTTGCTTCTTCGAGGCGTTGTTTAAGGCTATGTATTTATTATTAACAAGGGCTTGTATTTGGATGGATGTAGTGTATTTCGTACGGATAGCCGTAAATTATAGCCAATCACAGTCTAACCCCGGTTAGATACGCCGCGTATGTGCTTTAGATAGGGTATATTTAAGCTTGATTAATCTCCACTGAAGTTGAGTTACATATGTACGGCTTGACTCAGGTAGGTATCATTTCGTAGTAGTATTGAATTTCTTCTAGAATAATACTTGGATCATTTACCACGTGTCCGGACAATTTCGTTTGTTTGTACATCATGTAGGTACCTAACCTGACCTAAGGTAAGTATCCAGCTTATTGTAAGACTTTACCTATGTGTAACGTGTTTTTGGTCCAATACCGTTGGTATATCACCGATTACCGTATTACGATGAGATTTCTTGCCCCATACTAACGGGGGATACCTTGAAAACATATTGACGAGAGAGAGCCACGACTTCTTACATGATGAGGAGCATCGACTGCCGAAGAAGATAAAATAGGCTATGTATTAGTAATAGAAATCTGTCTCGGTTAACATCGAATTAGACATCTCCCCGGACGAACAACCCGGTGATTAAGACGTTTCATTGGTGGTAAGTAATATAGTGAGACATTATGCTATGTATGTACAAAAGGGGGCACGTAGAATAGCGCATTAATACATGTAATTATTGTACCTGGTAGGAAAGCGTTAGAATGGGTGTGGTCCACTCACACGTACAGGGGCAATAATACCCCTGATGCCGTACCATATAGGCGGTAGAAAACACTACTATTATTTGGTACCAGTCCTCAATTCGCCTCAACTCTAGTTAAAGCTCTATCTCAACAAAATACTAGATATGATACGACCTTTTCTCTCAACAACTTCGACAGTATTAGGGAATTACGTATTAAGATAGGTAAGGTAGGTAAAAATTAAACCTCTATTAAGTACCTAAAGATACCACACCAATCAGAAGTTATCAGCAATAATTTAAGAGCAAAACAAAAAGAAGGAAATGGTTTCATACATACCTCACATCCTTCATATCGATAGAGACGGGATTAGCGGTGTTAAAAATCACGAGAGCTGTCCGGAGTTGCCCTATGTGGTACCACACAGTAAGAAGTCCTGCCGATCTGGACATCGGCCGGGGAAGGATTGGTACCCGGGATGGATACCATTACCTCCGCCGCCATGGTAGATAGGTAGGTATTGAAGGTTGCGAATTTTCGGGTCTCACATAAGCTTGACCGACCCGTACAAACTGCCAAGGCTAGTGTATGTAAGACGGCTTTGGCAACTCCTATTCTAATGCGTCCGGGGTTGACCAATCAATGCTCCCCTTTTTTAGGGCTGAGATAGCTACAGATATATACTATTAGGTATGTACATATGTATTAGAAAGCCACGATATCATGTGGTATTGTACCTACGAGCCAACCCGCCGGCATCTCAACTGAAAGATGGGGGCCAGCAGCAAGTCAACCGGGCCGCTGATAACCTTAAAGACAGACGATCGGTATCCAGGATCAGGTCATCCGTAGCGAAGTGCCGGCAGCTAATTTTCTGATCCGTCAGATGTGCTCGTGGCTTACAATTGCTTGATAACCATGGGAACTTCTCATGTGTACGGGCCCCGGGCCCCTGTGAGATGGGATTTTCCACGGAGATCGATTTAGGCAACGCTTATTTTCTTATCCTCGGGTATGATTTGCCAGTGCCAGAATACTATGGGAATCCTATGCATGGCCTTGCTGGACCATGCCGCCATGATGCTATTAATGATGCCCACATGTTATCCACATGCCACCAAGCTGCTAGCCGTGCCAGCGCCATGCCACACCACCATGCCAGCAAGTCCAGTTAACGTTAACGTAGAATCAGCCTTGGCCGATGGAACTTCATCTTACCACATTGCGGGGCCAATGACCATGACTACCTACCTACATACTGTGTAGTCCGAATCCTTAACCAGTCCGAATGCCGCAATTCGATCATGTCCTTACCTTGCGTAGTGTAGGTAATAATACGAAATAACTTCCCTAGCTGCCCCTATTACATACGACGTTACCATCTAGAATCTGAGAATCTGGGCAATATACTTTATTTATGTATACGATCTCCATAACTATCGCCAGCGACTAGGTATCCCAGTTTTTGGAGCTGAACCCCTGCATCGCCCTGGCTTTCCAGACACTGCACTGGCCTACAAATAATTTATTTGGCGGATAAGTAATCAGTCGACTACTTCCGTCTATCGGGTCATCATCATCGCGCTTCGAATCAGGTTCGCGACGCAAAATAACGACAAAAAAAATCGAGATCACAACTACTATCCCGTACGGAAATAAAGCCGTATTAGATTAAGACAAGAGACAACAGCCGGGTATAGAAAACTCATAATTCAAGCTAGAATAAGCATTTCCCGTTAGCCGACATGAGACAGACTCGTCGGAACAGCCCCAGCAGCCTCAGTCAACGTTCGGCACAGACTTCCGATTCGTCGGAAAAGAGTAGTCGACGATGCGACGGATTAAAACCCACAAGGAAGAGGGCGAGTAAGCCCAAAGTCCGAACAGGTAAAACTACCTAATCTATCCCCGATCAGCTCAAGATGGGACCAGTTAGCTAAGATCTTCTCCACCGTGCAATAGGCTGTATTAGCTGTAAAAGAAGACATGTTAGTTCATCTTTACAACTTCCGGTTCCTCTGCTAGTTATTCGATTGTCCAGGTGAAGTTATCAGGCCGTGACATTAGCGGTCATGATAGTCACAGCTACTTACTCCCTGTTGACAGGCTATCAGCTACAATATATCACAGCTAACTAACTCAACTGTCTATAGGTCAAATGTGACGAAGGCAAGCCGTCTTGCGCAGAATGCGAGCGTCTTGGACTGATGTGCGAGGGTTATGCTCCGCCTAAAATCAAGACGACCTCATGTAGGCCTGAAAGATTACTGTTGCCAAAGCCGAAGCTTGCCTCGGTACAGCCAGCCAAGGTTGCTGCTCTGTCTCAACCAGTGGACTATCAGTCACCAACTCCGCTGATGCCCACCTTTGGCTTTGAACTGAATGAGGACGACAGGTGGTACTTTACTCTGTTTAGGGATCAGATATCTCACGAGCTTTCGCCTTACTTTCGGTCAAACTTCTGGTCCCGGACGTCTCTTCGAGATAGCATGGTCAACAGATGCATTCATCATTCTATTCTTAGTATAGGTGCCTATGGCCGTGCTCTTATGGATCTCCGCGAGGGTTATACGGTCAACGGCAAGCTGTGTCGGGCGTGGTGGCCTCCGTCGGTACTGAATCGACATCATCAGGCGGCCCTTGTGCATCATGCCAAAGCGCTTTCTCATCTACGATCTAACATCAGGACATTCGGGATCGACGGCCGTTTAACGATGGCGGCAACCCTCTTATTTATAGTGTTCGAGAATATGCAAGGGAACTATCTCAGCTCCGGGAATCTCATACGCAGCGGCATCAAAGTTTTGAAAAATATACGGGGCGGAGGAGATTCCAAGTCTATTTTACGGCGTCAATGGTATCGATGTCTGTCGGCCCCGCGAGACGAAGTAGACGAGATGACCACTATGTTTGCACGCCACAGCGTCGCAACCGCGTGTGTCCCGTTCGCGCACGGGAAATTCGCATACCATATCCTCCTTACCGAGGACGAAGACGAAGACGGCGACACCGGACTAGACGGCCCGTTTACATTTTCGGCTCCGCAGACGCTCGAGCAGGCGAGGCAAATATGGGATCATCTGATGGTGCAGATCGCAAGTTTCCAAAGCAAAATCGCGTGGCATAATTCGAATCCCGAATACGACTTTGACGAGCCCGCGGCCTTCCGCGAGCAAGCCATGTACCTGGCTCAACTGAACGACTTGGGTATCGCGCTGGATTCCTTGCTATTTAGTACCGTAGATAGCCGCGATCGCCAAGGCCTCGAGCTGTTGCGGATGCATCACACGATAGCTTTCATATCTACATCGTGCTGCTTCGATTCGACGGAGATGATGTACGACCAATACATACCCCAGTTCGAAGACGTGGTTCGACGATGCAAGCAATTCGCGGATTTCCCGTCGGAAGTAACCTCTAAGATAATGTTTATCAACGAAGTTGGTCGATTGCCTTTGCTAGCTTTCGTAGGGTTGAGGTGTCGGAAGGCCAGCGTTCGACAGGAGGCAGTGGAGTTGCTGTTGCGGTGCGACTGGCGCGAAGCAACCTGGGACAGCGAGAACCTCGCGAGCGTCGTGACCGGCATAATGAAGCTCGAAGGGCAGTTGGATCCGATAGACCCGGATTACTTGACCCCTGCCAAGGACCGCTACACGTGGACGAATATATTCTGGGACTTTGAAAAGCGGCAGATGCTCCTCGAGTACACCAAGGCGCTGCCTAACGAACTTGGCGAGTTCCACAAGGTTAGCTATGTGATGGGTGTCTAGGACTTACTTGGTCGTCTGGGCGTATCTTGGGAATATCACGATAGGTTAGGGGGTTGCGGCACGTATATCGACTAAAGACACTAGAATTGATAAACATTGCTCCAATACGAACTTTCAGTTTAACTTATGTCTAGGTACCATCTAACTCTTAGTTCAGATTACATCAAGTCTAGCAGCACTACTTGTTTGCCTTTCGATGATAGTCTCAAGACGCAAGTCGAGAATATGTATTACTACTACTAGTTCGTAGCAAGAAATGTGGACTGTATTCAACGCACGGCAGGAAAAGTAACAAAACAATATTTCGAAGTCTCTCAGCGCTTCGCCTTCCTCGCCGTGTGTAACGCCGAGAGCATATCTTCCAGAAGATCCTCGTCGTGCCCCTCCCTCTTACGCTTTCCCCCCGTGTCTGTGTCTGATATATCGCTCTCAACCAGAGCCATACTGGCCTGACCACCACTCTGACCACCCCGATTACTAAAAGTGCCCCGCCGAGGTTGAGTAGGGACATGTCCAGGATATTGAGGGACTTCCCACGGCTGAATAAACTTGAGTCCTTCAGCTCCAAGGTCCGTATCCCAGTAGTTACGACTATCGCAATCGTGTAAGTTAGTACTCGCTTCTATAAGTAGGGGGGTGAGGAGGGAGTAGGGGGGAGATCTCAAAAACCATGACTCCTTTCATTTCTCTAACCAAAGGGCCTTAGCTCTTGAGAGGGTATATATAAGGTAAATAAAAGACGCAATAAAGTGTTCTTCGTTACGTACTCTATGGTCGGGTATTTGCCCTCCCTATCATACCCACCATTAAGCACTTGATGTGGTTGGTGGAATTCTACGAAATATTAGCCCAAGGTCTTATTTTTCTCTTGGAATATTAAGAATAGCTTACTCGCGGATAAATTCTTATTATAGATCGGGCCGTCCCGTCGAATATCGTTCACGGTCTTTGGGAAAAACTGCCGGTAACGCGCCTCGCGACCCATATTCTGGAAAATATTACGTGCAGACCTTGGCGTGATTCGCCTGCCATTTTGTTGCCAACCCTCGGAGTTTGTAGACACAGATATTCGGTAACTGTTGGGATAGTTTTAGTATCATCATCGTGGTAGTTAGATCTTGACCTTTACGTACCTGGGTTGGGCGTCGGTACCCTCTGGGCGGTCGTCAGACTTGACCGCACATGACTCCTCGGTACATCTAAAGGATGATTTGCAATGAGGGCAGGAATACGGGTTTGCGCATATAACACATGAATATTTCCAACCGCAAGAGGTACATCTAAGCCATGGGCGATGTTTTACGCAATACCAGCCTTTTGTCCAGCGTTCCTCCTGCATTCTTTTCCTTTCCCCATTATGCTCATGTTGTCCTGGTGGTGGTGCATGTCTACACCACCGGCCTACGCCAAGGTACGTAGGGGCCTTTGTGCTATCCATACGATTTACGAGTCTGTTGCGTAGTTGTACGATGTTGTTGTTGCCTGTTCGGTATCTCCGCCAAAATTCGGCATTGTTCTCGGGATATGTGGTGAAAACATTAATTAACGCTCTTATATACGGCATGAACCAATTGTCGAATAGATCAACAATTTCGTTGTTCCTCGCCGGCTCCGAAGCCTCTACAGTACCTTTATAGGATAAAAAGCTATTGATTGTATCTACATCATTGGCGAAGTCTGCATAAGAGACTGAATGAAAGAGGTCAGCCCCAGAAGTTAGAATAGGACAGCCGGTACTATTACTTACCTAATCGAACTGCATGTTCGTATTTGATTTTATAAACGACCTCGAAAAGGCCGATTGCCGTAGCAGAGTCTATCTGAGAAGTATTAAACTCGGTGATGTGGCGGCCAGGGAAATGAACTGCCCAGTTACTAAACCATTCAACCATTCGAACATCATCAATCATTGATGCCGAGTGGACGGCGGCGCTGAACCATCGCGTTGAAAGTGTTATGCTCGTTTCGTCTAACAAGTCCGTGGGCTGGTCCGTGGGATTTCTGTCCTTGCGATAATAATCTCTCATAAACCGCAATCGACCCATCATCGAAAACCCTACGTAAGTCATGATCTCGTGGTGGAACCCCGAATTCCTAAGCTCGTCAACATTCCAACCATACGCCTCACCTATCGATGAGAACAAGCGGTCGGCGGCGTTACCCCGGTTGGACGTTTCTAATTCCGCTTGAAGCCTTGTCAGTTCTTCGATGATATCATCAAAGTCATTCAGGATATCCCAGGCCGTTGTGTTCGCGTGCATTCGTCTAACACTAAGCTCTCCATTGGCTTGAAAATCATTTGCACTCCTATCCCGTGAGTACTCTCCCGTGTTCGACAGCTCGCGCAAGATTGCTTCTACAAAATCCTCTGGGTCTTGTAGTGTATGGGCGTCTTTAAGGACTATCATGAGGTCGTAAGGATTGTGGTCTTCACCTTGCTTCAACGGCGCCCTCTCGGCCGGCTCCCTATGATAGTAGCGGCTCGAGACCGGTAGACTCTTGAGATACCATCTGCCACGAGACTGTATCCTATTCATTATATCCTCTTTGATGTTTTGCCAACGCTTCCTTAAGGGAACCGGAACTAGAGGAGGAGGAGGTCGACGAGTTGCACGGCCCCCCCGTTGCGCCCGTTGTATTTCTTCATTCTCAGCTACTGTGCGACGCCAACTAGGATACCCCTGAGTTAACCTCCCATGCTGAATCAACCTTGAAGCAATTGGCGGATTGCTTGGACCTTGAGTGCCTGGACCTTGAGTGCCTGGACCTTGAGTGCTTGGACCTTGAGTGCTTGGAGGGTCAGTGGGAGCGGAAGGGTTAGTGGGAGCGGGTGGGTTAGGGGGAGCGGGAGGGTTAGTGCGAGGCCAAGGGTTAATGGGAGCCCAAGGGTTTTTGGGAGCGGAAGGGTTAGTGGGAGCGGGTGGGTTTTTGGGAGCGGGTGGGTTTTTGGGAGCGGAAGGGTTAAGGGGAGGCCAATCGCTAGTGGGAGCGGGTGGGTTAGTGGGAGCGGGTGGGTTTTTGGGAGCGGAAGGGTTAAGGGGAGGCCAATGGTTAATGGGAGCCCAAGGGTTTTTGGGAGCGGAAGGGTTAGTGGGAGCGGGTGGGTTAGGGGGAGCAGGAGGGTTAGAGCGAGGCCAAGGGTTAATGGGAGCCCAAGGGTTTTTGGGACCGGGTGGGTTAGGGGGAGCGGGAGGGTCAGAGGGAGGGTCAGAGGAAGAATCAGAGGGAGGGTCAAAGGGAGGATCAGTGGGAGCGGGTGGGTTAGTGTTCGTAGTGTTTCGCCGCCATGATTCATTAAAATTTCGCCGTGGCTGTCCAGGCCCTTGGTTTGGATCCAGTTCACTTTGCGGCGATGGTCTCGGCGGCTGTCCAGGCCCTTGGTTTGGATCCGGTTCATTTCGCCGCCATGATTCATTAAAATTTCGCCGTGGCCGCTCAGACCCCCGGTTTGAATTATCTTGTGTGCGATCCTGCCAAAAATTACCTCTCCGAGCTCCTTGCCGCCATGGTCCAGTAAAATCTCTTATGCCACCTTGTGTATTTCGCTGTGGACCAGGGTCATTTCCTTGCTGGCCTTGGGCGCCTGTGCCTATAATCGAATTTAATATTCATCAGTAAAAGATCCATTATTGTGTTGGGTACCTATTGTTTTGGGATTAAATACCTGACGAGTTATTTCCTATGTGTAGTTCATTGAAGGCATCATTTACGTTTCGGTCGCCGGCATCTTCACGATCGCTAACGTCGTATATATTATATGGATCGTTCGGGTTGTTAGACATAGCTGTACCTGCAAATGATTAACCGCTGGAGTTGGGGGCTACTAGGTTAGCAACTATTACTTCTTGCCGGATATCTCTTAAACTGGTGCTAGGTATATGAGTCGGAAATGGGAGTTAAGGATCTCAAGTTAGATTGGGTATATATTTACGGTGGACGGTTGGTTCAAACCCCTAGGTTTATCCGTATACCGCATTCGGTGGTTCTTTATGTTGGATAACGCCGAGTTGGGAGACCAAGCCAATTTGTTCAAAGGACTAATTATAACCATTGTTTCTGAGGAATGCAGGCCGACTTCTATCTATCAACAGAATAGAACCGCTCTAGTCAAGAGGAATCTTGTACTCAACCCCGGGTTCCTAGAATGGTGATAGGTACGTGTAGGATAGAGGTGACTACTGTGTTATTGTGCTGAATTCGAGAAAATGAAGTCTAATATTTATGGACAAATCGTATTAGCTTCACACAACATGACTGGTTTCCGTAATGTTTAAAGTATTAAGAGTTAATATTATGTATACCAAATTAACTTGAGCGATTGCGTAGTAAGAGCAATAAGATACTAATTGCCGCATAAGACTAGTACGGTGGTAGATACTGATTTATGAGGGAATATGCCAGGAATGGAGCTTTTGGTTATAGGGACGGCAAGATGTATTTTTGATAATTTACCAAATACCCTCAAGTGATAGTGTATAATGGGGTATAATTCGATGTGTAGCTGGAAAACAGCGTAAAAGTAGGTTATCTTTACTAACAAAACAATAAGATACCTGCTATAGAATATTTAATGCCGTAGCCCTTCTTCTATGTAGGATGTTGACTCCCCTGTATTAACTTTGGTGAACATACTGGCTGGGTACCTAGATATATGTCCACTTGCCATATCTTGAAATAATGCAAATCCATCATCATCCCCCCCTACACTATCTTTTCAGGTCCCTCGCTGCTCTTAGATGAGCCTGCACGACCGGGGTTATGTGTCGGCCCCTCAGCTGAGCGTGCGAGGACGTCGCTGGTATGGCGCTGCAGCTCGACGTAGTCGTACGCGAACTCACCCAGCTGGTCGTCGTCAATGCCTACCTCCTCATTCTCAGCCGAAACGCGGAGGCTGAGGCCGGGAACCAAGTTCAGGAGGAACAAGATCACGCACGTCAGGACGAACGAGTAGGAGAACCCCGCCACACAGTCCGCGATCTGGTACCCTAGCTGTACATAGTTATGGTTGATCCATCCGCCTGGGATCTCTGTAAAACCATCGAGGGCTGCGATATAGTCGCTACAATGTGATGTCTTAGTGTCTAGTAGGTTTCAAGTGAGGGCAGGTCATAACTTACGCCGCAAAAAGACCAGTTAGAAGGTTACCGATAATACCACCGATTCCATGAACAGCAAAAATATCAAGCGCCTCATCTACACCCATGACAAACTTGAGCTTGGTGGCAAAGTTGCAGCCTATGCCTCCTACAATGCCAAAGATGACAGCGGCCCAGGGGGTAACGAAACCGGCGGCGGGTGTGATAGCTACAAGGCCCGCGATCGCACCAGAACAGAACCCCACAACCGACCACTTTTTCTCGAGACGGTAGTCAAGAAGGGTCCACGTGATACCCCCAACAGACGCGGCCAGATGGGTAACGATGCAGGCCATAACGGCGCGCATATTAGCAGCGAGAGCGGAGCCGCCATTGAAGCCGAACCAGCCGACCCAGAGGAAGACGGTACCGAGGACAATGTGAGTAACGTTATGCGGACGATAGGGTAGACCAGCAGACTTTGCGTATCCAGTCCTCTTGCCGATCATGACGGAAAATGCTAGGGCAGCCGCGCCGGATGAGATGTGAACCGGAGTGCCACCAGCAAAGTCCAAACCACCCATCTTGAAGGACCAGCCGTTGGCATTCCACGTCCAGTATGCGATAGGATCATATACGATGGTAGCCCATATAAACATGAAGACAATGCAAGGGAGTACACGTGCGCGATCGACTGCGGCACCGATCGCAAGGGCTGGCCTGAATCGTATGGGCTTCTGCGTTAGAAACTTGATGCGGAAAAGGACTTCTAAGGTTACGACACCACCTAATCCATGGAGAACTCACGTAATAGCGGCGAACATGCCCTGGTACAGACAGAATAAGAGATCGGGAATCTTGGTGCTACCGACGGAGGGTTGCGCGAGGGTCTTCATGAGGCCAAAGTTGGAGAGATCGCCAATGAAGCTGCTGCCGGTATGGGAAAAGGTCAAGCTATATCCCCAGAAGAACCACTGGAAGTCGACGACGGCGATGGACAGCATGGCCAACATAATTAGCGAGAGCGCAGATTTGCGTCGCGCAAGACCTGAATAGAAGAAGCCGACACCGGGAACCATAAGAAGGACGAGGGCAGCGCATGTCATAATCCAGGCAAAGTCGCCGCTCTAGAATAGGAAGAATAATTTCGCTTTAGCAGTTTCCTCTTCGTATAGGTATTTTCTTTCATGATCGTACATACCTCGTAAAATTGATTGAGATCTGTGACGCCGGTGGTATACCCGGCGTCAGCATCTCCGATAGTGCCATTGTACGGCGTAACGTACAAGCTGGCAGACATGGCTGATATCGCTGATCGCTGCGAATGAGGAAGCCAGCCACTGCGTGGAACAGAAAAGGCGAGATCGAATATCCTCCCACGATGAGACACACGTCTCGGAAAGCTGTGTGTCGCGATACCTATTACCTACTTTTAACGACGGAATAAGACACAAGGAAGGGAGAGAAGAAGAAATCAAGTCTTGCTAACTAGAGGATGCCAGTGGCGGGTGCCAGTGTCTAAATACGGCTCGGCTCATTGCTTTGCTTTGCTTTCTATTCGGGAAGCCTCCCTCGATTGGCAAGACATGTTAGACATGTTTATTGAATGTATATGTTATGTACACTACATGCGTCACTTCACTTGTTATCTGTACTCCGTACACGTAACAGGAGGGGAACAGGTACAAGGGATTCAGTGCATTTGCGTAGCTTTGTACGACCCATGTAACATGAAAGGACAAGAACATCCCGATACCAAGGTTCTTTGTTCTTACGTTCTTACCTTAGGTAGGTAGATAAATAGATATCTGTGATATCGTACAGTAGTTCAGCTCTAAACCAAGAGATATCGATATCAGACCCCCCTGACCAATGCCTTTAACAGTCATTTTAAAAGGGCTATTGATAGGATTAATAGGCATGTAGCTAGTGGAGTTAGTGTACTGATAAGAACCCGAGGAGACGGTGGGCTCTCATGCTCTCGCTACTAAACCTTGCTATTCTTGGCATCGCGAGTGGGAGGGGTGCACGGGGGTAGGGCCTTACGGATAGGCGACCGAATTAATTAGGTACATTATCTGGCTGCGTGGCAGGAGCATCACCACTAATATGAGAAGACGAGTAGGTAGTAGTAGGATTCTTCCATGTTAGTAGTCTTTAAAAAAAAGTTTATGGGTCTGTGGCGTTCTTGGACTTTGAACTTTGAATTGCCAAGATATGAGAAATGACAACAGAATGAGGAGGCGCTTATTCTTTGAGTTGTTCTATCGTTTCCGAGAATACCTACTGTTGTATTTGATGTGAAACCGATCATCTTACTGTGGCTCGGCTACTAACCGTCTTAAAGGTAAATGTCATTACTACCTATTACTGAGATCGCATTGGCCCCATAGGGACATACATTTAGGCATATGACCTATGGCACACTTCGGATGCTAAGTGCTTTTGGCTCAATAGGGGGTTAGGTGTAAGATGCATTCGAACGAAAAAGCATAAATACACCGACAATAAGCTGTCTGTCTCTCATCGCTTTATTCCAATCGGGTACCACGCGGGGAGTTTCCGTTCAAGGCTGCGCTGCGCTGTATGTCTTAGAATCGGGGAACACGGCAACAGTACCTATACATCGAAGATGGCACATTGTACCAGCTGCCACGTGGGTTCGTAACGAAGGAAGCCTCGGCGAAAATCTACAGTTGTCTAAGACATCTAAAAGGCGACGAACATATGATCTATCTTTGAATACGTGAATGCGTGGAGATACGGTGTGACAATAGAAGAAGGGATAGGTAAAGTCGGTCTACGACTCGTGGCGGTCTTATTGTAGTCTTATTGGGCGCGCTTTCAAGTTGGTGAATGAAAATAACTTAGAACTCGAAAGGCCATTTGTTAAATCCCTGAAATTGAAGCAAACAATTGTAATAAGCGAGAACATACCTAGTTTAGGTAGTTAGTTACTATTAAAAGACATGTTCGCGAGTTTATAAAGGGTTATCCTAGAGTTCGTCTTTATCGGAATGGCGTCGGGCGGTCAAGACGTGACGTTGGTCGCACAGCTCGAACATCAAGGGACGATCATTCCTTGGCTTTGTAGGGTGTAAAAGAAGATCCGTTGGAGAGCAGAGCTAAAGAGCCGTTTGCGAAATAGTCCTAAAGATAGCTGAATCGTCTCATACCTAGGGTCGTGGTCTCGCTAGCAATCTGGTCGGGCGCCTCCTGAATCAAATATCAAAGGCTTCTAGAAGCGAAACAGATCGTTGTTTTCTTCAGCCATATCTGCTACCTAGTCAGCAGCTAACAAATGTAATAATCAGCTCAGACAATGAACAAGATTGGGATCGGGCCAAGGCCCGCCAAGCAGGGTGCCCAGAGATAAGGAAATAATACATTGTCCAATAGCAACGTTCCATTTTCTCCAAGCGGATGCTCGGTCCCCTGTCGACCATATCTGGAGCTAACGGCAGGGCTGCTAATCAGCGGAGTGCGAAGCCTAAGCTGTAGTTCCCCGGTTCACTTGTATGAATCTCCGCGTCGCGTTTGTCGATTCTCAATTCTACATACCTAGTACGCGTACAACATGTCTGCAAGGATTTTCATATGATAATTGGAAGTACCTTATAAAAGACCTCATTATATACCTAATTATTAATTACATTTATAATAATCCCGGAATTATATCAAGCTAGAAGCTGTTACTAACGGGAGTCGAGCGTTCAGTTCAGATGGTGAAACGTCTCGACGTGGCCTGAGCCTACGTACACGCCCGTCGAATACAACCGGAATAGACATGCAGTGACTCGTGAGTTATCGCCCAGCTCTATCGTGTAACATAAACATATTGTGTAACGAATTGGTGGTTTATCTACCTACCTAACCCGCCAAACCCACTTCAGCTTTGATCTTGCATGCTCCCATGCATACAAGCGCCGCCGCTTCGGGTTGACCCAGCTACCTTAGGTACCTACCTAGTAACAGTTCCTAGAGTTTCAGCCCCGTCTAGTTGCAATCACTGATATCTCGATAGCTGTGGGCCGTAGCGCTGACTCCGGCTGGTTCTTACCACGAGGCGAACTACCTAGCTAGTGGCGTAATACCAAAGGGTAAAACCGGGGGCGGCATTAACCTTAGGATGCCATACGACGGGATATCAGAGTGGTGCAAGTACAATTATTTTGAATCTTATACTCTATCTACTCCATTCTAGGCAAGACTTATGTTAACCGGTACTTATAATCTATGATGGCATAATATCGTAGATCTAGTTCTGGGCTCCTCGTATTACCTAATTAGCTGAGTGTCTAATAAGTCTAGCTTTCGTAATAATAACTCTTCGAGGGAGGTGATACTTCATTGATGATCCTATAGACGTGTAGGAAAGGAAGGAACAGTAAACAGGCAGTTGTCCGCGAAGTAAGTCAGATTCAAGCAGCAAAATCCGAGTATAGGTACCTCTTCGGTAGGTTTACACCTACTAAGGCGCACCAAGTAGTAATAAACTAGCCTTGTTGTTGCGCGAAGAATTATCGACGAATAGATAGCTGTTTTTGAGATATCTATCATAGCCTGGGGCAGTTCAAGAATATACCCCCGATGATGTCTATTCGTCTTGCGATGCTATATTCTAATTCCTACCACGACGTTGCAGTGAAATATCAGCTGAAACACGAGTATGATATAACAAGTGCGGGTCACCGCGCACGAGAAGACGACCCGTATAACAGGAGGCGGTTAAGCAGATCCGTCATCCTCGACTTGCTATATTTCCTCGACTTTCCCTTCAGTTCTTGCATCACTTGCTTCTCGGACTTCCACATCAGCGGTAGCCACGAAGGGTATTTGAATAGCTTCAACCAGAAACGAGGCTCTACGATAACATGCATGTGAAGATGGTGAACGGAAACAATGTCAGGCCAGTAAGTGCCTCTGAACAGAACACGGCGACCGCGGTGGAACCCGATATGTACGTTGGCGGGTGGGATGGTAGGGCAGTTCTGTTCTAGGAGATATTCTCCTAGTTCCACCATAGAGTCGACTAGACACGGCTTAGTTGTGATTCATTTATAATATGCTGGTTACTGACCTAGCGGTGCATCCTCAAATTCCAACTTTTCGATGTCACGCCAACTATGCAGCTTGGGCATTACCAGCCAGTGATAGCGCCCCGCTTTGCGGATGTTATTTATCGCAATAAGATCGTCATCCTAAGCAGCAGCGTTAGTATAGTATAGTATCATTTACATTCGATGTTTGTCAAGTTGCACCTCATAGACAATGTTCTCCTCGAATCTTCTTCGGTCACAAAAGATGCAGTATGTTTGCACCCTTTCCCTCCACTCTAAGTGGACCAGGTAATAGATGAAAGACCATATCCTCTTCATCATGACGATAGAACGTAGGATATGGCGCCTAAATGGAATTTTGGAAAAAAAAGAGAGAAAAAGAGAGGCGTACTCTTTCATAAAGGATTAAATCGGAGAATGATGTTTGACGGGAGTCCGGGTAATTCCCGGCTGCCGTTCTGTTAACCATAAAATGGCTACCAAGTCATTTAAGACTACTATTCCGAGATGGTAGCGGTTGCCTCAAGGCATAAGAAGGCCGAAAGGGATATAAGTGGAAATTTCATCTCTCATGTTCTAGCTACTATTTGATGCTGCTCTATGGATTCACATGTTTTTTTAAGTGGTCTCTAGTATTAGGCATCTCCAAAGCCACCTTGCTTCGCCTCATGAGTGCAATCGTGTCGGCTACTAGTTGGGGCTGTGGGAATGTATATGTTTCCAATCACCTCGAAAAAGAAATCTCTCTCCTTATCTCCCTTAAAGGAAAATCCAATGTATACGGACATTGGCCCAATTAATCTCATCACATTCTTTAGTTAGTGCTCTTTATTTGAGGCGGTGTAATCTCAAGTGGACATGGACAATATATTAGACTCCAATAATAGCTGGCAGAACCTCTTGAATTGTACATTAGTTTGCCTACAGCGTAAGTCTGTATTACTACTTTCGTGCCCTTATATTAGGTACATGTCAGTACTCAGTCATGTCAGTACTACTATGCAGGTACTTTAGAAAGACAATTAGGATACAGAGGCGCAGGGCCTATGCAAATATAACCAGACCTTTTCATTGAGATCTCTTCTTGGCCTTGGTTAGAGTGTGCTCATAGGATCTTTCTCTCATTCGTATATATTTGAATAACTCAGCTCTCCTATAACGTAACTCGTAGCCCTCATTAAATATGAAACCATCTGACATTATTGCGGATATAGATGAAAGCCTGATACAGCGAGTATAACTTTAGGCATACATACGATGATACTCTACTCGTCCCCGGAAGCTTAATCAGACAAGTTAATAAGAGTACGGCGTTAAAGATAGTTAGTAATCGGTCTGCTATGTTTCCGGGGGCTCGCTCGAAACTATTAGTTATCAACTCCGTCTGAGGAGTTTCCGTTGGTGATATTAGGGACTCCGGGATGATATAATACCGTATGTTGGAAGAATGACGTACATCTTTTAAACTAAACGTGCTTACACGTAGTTCATATGTTGAAAATAAGATATTCTGAGCTACGTCTCTGGGAATAGCGGACACTACGTTAGACGTAACGGAGATATCGCGATATTGTAACACATAGCAATATTTAGCGCTCACATACGGTATGATTTCTACCCCGAAGCCGCCCCATAGTAACAATTTCGTGATCCGGTGCGGGGTTTATGTAGAACGGAGCTCTTCATCTCCACATATTATCCAACGTCGGGGACTTGGATGATGAGGAGTATACAAAGTAGGACTGGCGTCAAAAAAGAGTTATCCGAATTACTGATGTAAGTCATAAGAATTAATTAGCCGCAAAGGACTTGGAGGGTAAACGTAATATTATATTAGGTAATATCCAACAAGATGTAATTGACAACCTACGTAACCTATCAGGACGTTATTCCGGTTCGTCTGTTGGTTCGGAATCCGGATGGTGTAATTGATGCACATGCGCGACGGCTTCTGCGGGCAATCAAGAAACTGAACATTTACATCATTCGGGAACAAATAGGTACCTCCCTTATAGTCCCTTCGGCAATAACGTCAATATTATCGGTGATTGGGATCTGATCGGTGATAAACTAACAGATCAATTTATAGCATTTATGGAAAAAAAACGAAAAAATACTACTTAGAGGTTTACATGGTAAGTATTTCGTTACTATTAGTTAAATACTATAATTTATAGAATTTTAATATACACTTGTGATGTATTAATTTTCAATTTCCGGCGCATTTAACATACCTGACGAAGGACGCGCCAGCTGTTTCCGCTCCGGCCGCTCTCGCATATATTAAGCCCTCCCCGCTCCCTCTTGGTTCCGTTCAACAAGATAATCATCTATCAACCCTTCACGTTAATCTAGAGGTCTTACTTTATTTCATCATGGCTATCATTGAGCTTGTATTCCCTAAGGTGAAGAATGACCCTGAATCTATCAAGGGTGCGCAAGGGACGATCCCTCTTGCTTTCAAGGCTCTGAAAGAGGGTGGTGTTCTACGAGGTGCGGCAGGTGCTATAATCTCGGAAAACGGGAAAGATACGACCGGCGAATTCAGAGAATTCATCGCTCTCGGTACGCGGGCTGGCTGGTCCACATCTCGTTGTTGAGTATCTAACAACTGCTAGAATGGCCTGAATTTTCCTACTTCCAGAAATTCGTTGAATCTCCTGGTTACGCAGAGTATAAAGCCGCGGCACAGCCCTTTTCATCCGGACCACCGGACTTGAACGTCTTTGAGACGAACCCCGGCGCGCATCTCTTCGACGGCCGACCTATCCTGGATATATTGCTCATCAGCCCTAAGAATGCGTCCGATGAAGAAGCGGGGGCTGTCTTGAAGAACGTACGATCGACGCTGGAGAAGATTAGCGACACCGAGGGTGTGTACGGAAGCTCTTTGAACCTTCCTCAGAAGAAGATCGCTATCGTGAGAGCACTTGCAGACAAGGCGGTTAGTATTCAAAGTCTTCTTTAGGTGCATATGAGAGCTCAAAGTTATTGATACTAATACGCTTATAAGGAATTGGATGCCGCGAAGAACGCCTCGGCACGCCAAGAGATCATAAAGGAGATCGGCGGCTTGGCCGAAGTGACCCAATTGGTTGCCGATGTTAAAGTGATGCCCTTCTAGAAAGACTAAGGGGATTAACAATAACATCAGAAGTGGTTGGATTAGGTACTTCTACGATTGTTTCTAGATGAGGCTGATAGTAGAAAACAAGAATTTGACCAATTTTGCCATGTCTAATGTGTGAACACCGAAGAATATCTACATCCTCGGACCCTCAGTGCTAGGACTTGTATTGCCGCTCCGTAACATTCGGACCTTTCGATACCACTCCTGCCTACCTAAAGCATCGTTACAAATAGTTGACGCGAGACGACATATGGGAAGGATCTGACATACTGATAATAGATGCCGTTATGTATTTTCCTTCAATAACTGGGTAATAATCACAATTTGTACTTTGCCTTTCTGATCTCAACCCCAACGATATCATGGTGGGCGAAGATGGCGATGTTACTTATTATTTCGATTTCATAATAGTGCTTGCGTATACGTCTGGTTATTAAATATAGATTTTGATGACGCCTCTTTAATTAAAGCTTCTCATAAAAGGAGTGCATACACATATTAAACCTTGATATAGCTAGAGCAAGGAGATGTATTTATTACTTAACTTTTTACTGAATACCTATTCTCTTTCCCTACTTGAAATTGTGTATCAAAGGCTTCAAGATTAAGGTTTGAGTACGGGTATAGGAGAGAAACAAAGTTTAGGATATAAATTTGGTTGGCTGGTTGACACAAGTGATTTCTTCAAGATATAATAGGTAGTCCGTCAATAGTTTGAATGTAGAAACGTAGCAACCAGCGTATCGTAACTAAGAATCTTCCTTCTAAATTCCATATCCAATGATTGCAGAGTAAGTACTTCCACCAAAAATTCCCAGGGTGCAGAAAATGGCCCACGCTCTAAACAACTTCGATTCATACATTCGATCTGATATATCTGACTCGGCCCTAGCCCCATCCACTACGCCAATAGGCGTGAACCCAATTTGAGCCTCTATGGCCTGTCGTTGGCGCTCATTATATTCTTGTAGTTGGAAGAGGTGATGAAGAGACGGTGCATCGAATACGTTATGGATAATACGTTCACTATAGTCTGAGTGTTCGTGACTGTAAGAATTTCTGGTCCCCCCTTGATTTCCGTTATGTTGCGTTTCTATAAAAAGAAAATTAGTATATATCTCGACAGATACCTGAGTAGCTTTTTCTCTCATTTCAATGATTACTAACCTCTGAATAACTCCCAGGTTGACATCGCTGGGAGAATTAAAAGGAATAGCGGAAGTATCTGGCCAAACCCCCATTTATTTTCGCTACCATTTATGACTCCGGTAGAGACTGCATCCTGTTTTATAGATAGGACTTCAATCGTCCATGCTAAAGTCGCTGTGTAAGCTCTCCAAATATCAATGAGATGTGAGCTCATGACTTCCTGGCAGGTAAAGACTGGGACGAATATAACCCAAAATATTGGCCGCATTATGATGGTAATTATGGTATATATGAGCCTGGAATGGGAGAGGGTAGCGAATGCCTTCATGGATTTGTTGTCTATATATACTTGATATGTCGAATTGATACTTTGCAAATGTTCGAATGCCTTTTTATCGATCCAACGCAACGTCGCCTCAAAGCGGGTCAATACAATTTTTGAAATGCGTGGGATCCTTCGGAAGATAGTAGGGTATAGATATCTCATACTATCGATGTAGGCCCAAATAGTTAGAATTAAGTTGAAGCTGAGTAGAACGTCCAAAGTCGTGTCATGGTGAGAATCAATTAGATCGTCCCATACGCACTGGGTTGACGCTCCATATAGCTCTAGAAAGTTGACATTGAACACTGCGAAAATGCTCGGAATAATCATACCAAAGAGGATCGTCATCAGAATCGTTCTCCATAGCTTCATTCGTGGATCTCTGTTGGTGTATCCATCAAGAGCATATAGAGTAGGTTGGTAGACAATGAACGCAATGCCACCCAAGGAAGCGACTATATCAAAATGGTACTGCGTAATAGTACAATGTTGAATGTAGCCCGCAGCCATTATCGCCAGGCCCGTGACTAATTGCTGGTCGCTGGCTGCTAACACGATTGGTTGGATGGATTGGAGAGTCCACGGTTTCTTCATGCGCCTTGTAAACTGTCTAATATAACTCCTCAATAGATCGTCTAGCCGCACGGCATGACCTGAATAGGGGGTGAAGACGTCCGAGTGTCGGGATGAATATTCGACACTGGTAATCAAAAGACTAGACCACGCAGAAATTAGAAAGGCCGCAATTACCTACAGCATAGTTAGTATTAGAAACAAGGCACATTAGAGGTTACCTACGCACCCCAATTCCGGCCTATGCGACGGTTAGACTAATGAGACTTACGATAATGGAGTATAGGTAGGTACTTACAATATCTGGATCGGCGTCGAACGTCTCCGAGGAGCAGTCTGGCTCAGCTGGGCAAGTAAACATTTCTATCTGTTCAGGTAAGTTCACGGGTAATAGCTTGCTAGTGTCTTGAAATGATGATCAAACTTATACTCACTGCCTTCGGTCAAGAATACATACATGTTCTTTGTCATAGATGTCTCATCTAGAATCCTGACAAGTTCTCAGATTATAAGGTGATTTATTTTGAATCTACAGCCTACATATTGGTAGCAGCCAACCCGAATGATGGTCCGCTAGATTCGTGTATTTAGATCTGAATCATTCTGCTAGTTCTGTTACACATACAGCATAATTTGTTAAATTCGCATCGAGTCGTACAACTGATCGATCGCAGATTATTTCCCCCCAGGAAGTTTTTTCCATTACTTCCTCACGAAAGACCATCGTTGTAGCTTAGTGTTTTTATTATATCAGTAGAGATCACCATCGCCATCCCCACCCCCTATGTGCCATATAATAAGTGGGTCAGTGATAGATTCAGGGGCCTGTGTTAGTGGGATATCAATCGAATCAGTACCTAGGCAGCTATTGTAGATATCAGGTATAAACTTATAACATGTGAGTAAATCGTTTAGGCATTTTCTCTCTATATACCACTCTTCTAGTGTTACTTCGCACCCAATAACCTGTCTATTAGTAGAGGCTTACCCCTGTACGCCATCTGGGCGGAGGAAAACCTCAACGGATCCTCTCATTTTATCCTCAAGAGCCTTCCTCTCTTTCGGACTTGCTGGCATTGGTGCTCTGCATATTGCTACACCGAAAATCTCAGAAGCCTTTCTTTCCCATGCCGACCTTCGTTGTATCGCAGCCACGTCGATAGTCCCCAATCCAGTACTTCGACGAAAACTGAGGCTGCGCCTCCCTATCGTAGGTTTAAGGGAATTTAAAACCCCGAATTCTTCCTTGTTGAGTGGTACGAGGTCATTTGCGACTCGCGTCAACATAGACATGAGGAATACGAAGGAAATATTATAATAAGGCGCCGTGGACAGTATATCTAGGACGCCGGTCTTGGCTGCTTCGACATCAGCAGGGGTCTTTCCGCTCCCTATATTGGGTAGAGCCTGTTCAATCTTAGCCCATAGGGATGTAGTGATGATCCCATCTGGCATGCTGCGAAGGAACAGCAGAAGTACCTCGCTCACAATCTCGAGACGTTTTAATGTCGGCACATCAGCTCCGATGGTGTCTAGCACAGACCTATCCTCCTCTAAAGCCTCGACAATGGCTGCTCGTAGTTCGTCATGATCTTCAGCATGCGACGCTTGCCACGTACTTCCGTTAAATGGCCAACCGGGCTGGTCGCGTGGTATCCTTGCTTCTTCTAACATGTTTTCGTCGGCTATTGCCCGTTCTACCAAGGTTTGAACGGCTTCTGTGAGCTTAAAAAGCTCACCGGGTGATGATTTATGTACTTCCAATGTGTAGGGTATTGGCCCTCCTTTTTGTCGTCTTTTTACTAGTGCTCTAATGCCGCCACCACGCGGAACTCTAATAAGCTCCTCAAGTGAACGTCCGAAGCAACTTGGTATCCAAGTAGCCCTAATCGGGATGAAATGGTCCCTCCCGTCGACGACGCGCAATATTAGCACATCCTCTAGTTGCGCCCTTTCTTCATTTAATGCTTGTATGTGGACGAGGTCGTAAACATAGGCCTGTATAACAGCGTTGACTGTTTCCCCTGGTTCCAAAGTGATTTCATCGCCAAGGGCATCTTCTACCTCTCCGTTGTGGCTGACCTCCGAGCGAACAAATTTAAATTCCAACCAATTCGGATATTCGCTTGCATCGACTGTGTTCGGCTTTTCTACAAAGGAGAAATTCGCCGGAACGCGTCCAGTATTGGCAATTGTTAGAGACCGAGATTCTCTTCTCAGGAACCCGATCTCACCGAAGTCAACTCCTTCGCTTCCATCGGCCGCGTGCTTGTCACCGTTATCCTTGTTGATCGAGTCTTTCCCGTCAACGATAACAGTTATTCCCGGTCGCCCTTCGTTTTCCGCTCGATCAAGTTCTCTTGCTACTTCAGCATAGACTTTCGCCTTTAGCTCGGGGACTACAGCATCGAAATCCAACGTAAACATAGAAACGACTGGTTTGTGATCTGATGACATGATCCGCTGATGGCTGGTATATATATCCAAGCTGATTTTATCAACGAAGCCTTCTTTTGTTACAACTTGTCCTGTATCCTCATCCCCTTCGTCATATTCATCATATTCGTAAGAATTAACGTCGCTGTATCCCTGGTTATCGGCGCTTGAATCGGTGGCGGGGTCGTAATCAAATAAAACGCTCTCATCTTCCGCGGCCTGGTCAATGCCTCTTCTTTGCATATCCTCATCCTTCTTTTTAGCGTCGATTTCGTCTTGGCATTTCTTCTCATATTGACTTATATCCGTGCGCGTGCGATACAGGATGCGATCACACCAACTCGGGGCTCGCTGCTTTTCCGAAGAGTCAAAGAGTCCTACAGTACCAACATCATACTTGTATGTTGGTAAAAACGTGATGGGCCCTTCGTGCCAACCTTCGTGAAACGCTTTGCGCTCTTTGATCATACGTTTGAGCTGGTCATGTGGGAGTAAGGAATCCAGTGTGGCTTGTAAAGATGCCGGATCGTCGTGTGGGTCAGGGACGAAGTCATCTGGATCTGGGAGTTCAGTACTCTCTTCGCTAGAATCTTTATCGAAAGATGATTCACGCGAAACCATGCCAGGCGTATTCGTGCCATCTTCATCGTCATTGTTGCGTAACACAATGACTCCGTCGTCGCTGAACATCTCCCCAGTAGGCTTCTTATTTAGGTCATACTCGCCGCGGGTATGTAGCATCAGTAAGCGCCGGATATCTTCTCCAGGTAAACCATCGAGGCGAAAGTTTAGATCACCAAACCAGAAAGAGAAGTCTTCATCCCCTAACTTTTCACCCTCGTCCTCGAGTACGCCGCCGTGATTAATAGGAGTAAATTTGGTCTGGGTCACGACCCTGTTATAGTCCCAACATCGTCGTTCAAGACTGGTCTGATCATGACCGGAAGCGAGATGGCAATTGGTGAAAACGAGTCGGGTGGTTTCGCCTAGGAGGATGCGAGATGAAATTGCCCCTTTATTACCCCAATAACCCAATAGGCCATACATACCGGTCCCAACACTAATAGTAGACTCGTTTGATATGGTCTCAGCTACTTCGGGAGACGCATATATGAGTAGAAGAAGGCCGACAAGTTGCTCGCAGGCAACGAGGGTATAGCCCTTTGGTAGGGCAGCTTCGAGTGCATCTTTCCATTTTGCAATAACAGCCGGATCAGAATAGAAGGTTTGGGCGACAATGTTCAAATTGACGATTTCCTGAAGTCCAAGAACATACAGCCCTATCTTGTCGCCACCTAGTAGGCGAACGTTTGGTTCTTCATTTCCGTCTTGCGTAGTCTCGTCGTCCAAGTTCAAACTCTCTTGAACCCCCGAATTAATGCTGTGTCTCCCACTCGTCTGTGACCTAGCATCTTCGAATTCATCTGTTTCTAGTTCCGCGCTCTCCTCAGAAAGCTTCATCTGAGCTAGCTTCGAATCGAATTGTGGCTCAACCCCTTTGCCGTCAATGAACCAACTCGCCAAGTCTTTGTCGGTGCCAGGGCAACCAGCAACATTCCAAGATCCAACCTTTATCCGTATTCGATGGGATCTGACATATTCGGACTTTCTAGCACGCACGGCGCGGGAGAGAGAATATTGGTTCGAAGCTTCTTCCTCGGCTGGTTCCGTATCAGACACAACGGTGGGATCGCGATTAGGGGATGACATAGTTGGTTATATATAGTCGAGCTTTTGAAACAATTATCCACGATGAGGAAATATAAAATAGCGTAAAACTAAAGAAAACGTGGTATAGGGTAGAAGGACAAGTGCCTATGTCAACTCTTGGTCGCGTGCGCCAAACTCGGTGTAGAGCATCGTGAGTTGTGACGTATCGAGGGTCTATGTTTAGTTCAAATATGGAAGCGCGGATAAATACAACAGGGAGGTCTTTTACGAAATATATTCAAACGAAAACCGGTGTTGGAAAGAGAATGATATTAAATCAGAATTCCACCTAAACAACAAGATGATTTTAAGAGAAATGCAACGGTCGCAAGCCCGAAACAAGGAAGTACAAAATAATAATGGAATGAAGAACTTTGGGCTATTGCACATGCATGTTTGAGCTCTGAGCTGTACAAGTTGAAGTAGGTAAGGTATCGATTAGATAAGCTCACTTATCGCGCCTATTATTTTATTACGGATCCGTACCAGCATAGATGGAAGCTCCATTAGGCGGGGGCGGGGTCCTTGAGCTAAACATGTGCCTACATGTTGTAACAGGTACCTACCTACATATTCTACGCCCATCAACACCAATTTTAGAACCCAACAACAAAGTAATTCATACCTCTTACACAATTAACCTCACGCCTCGTACCTAACATAACTAACACAAACGGTCACAAAGAACCTCTAGACTCCGACTAGTATAGCGCAAAATGTCTCAAACAACAACACCCCGCAAGTACCAAAATCGAGGCCAATATCAACAGCAGCAACAGCAACACCACCACCCCCAAACCATCCCATCCTTCTCGCGCTCGCCGCATTCGCACCCAAACCCACACTCGCATTCCCAGCAACAGTATCCTCAACTACAGCATGGTCACACGCGAAACAGATCCCAGCAACTCCGTGCCCAAGCAGCAGAATTACAATTCGGCGGCGCCACAACAACCGTTACTTCGGACTACGAATCAGATACCGCGCACTACATGGCCTCCCACCCGCCTCCTCCCGCCGCCGCCCTCGCCGCGCGCACCAACACCGAGCTCAACCTGAGCGTCCTCCGGCGCTACCGGCCCAGCATCACCAGCATCCTGTCCATCGCCGCCCAAGCCGTAGTCTACGTCTTCACGCCCCCGACCAAGTGGGACAAGTCCACCATGGAAGGCCCGCTGTTCATCTGCGCGCAGGACGAGGACGGAGAGGCCGCTGCCGCCGACGGGTGCCTGTTCATATTGAACCGCAAAGGCCTGCAGAATCTGATTTTGGACCTGAACACCGTCAGCGACTTCGAGCTGGCTACTGACCTGCTCAGCTTCAAGCTTGACCAGGAAGGCCCCCTGATACCGATGGAGAACGGCGAGTCCGTGCGGCCCAAGGTCATCGGGATGTGGATCTACGCCGAGGACGACCAGGACCGACGTACTAACTCTGCTCTCATCCACGAGATGTGGTCCAAGGCCCGCTCTACCCGAGACGAGGTGGAAGGAGCTTCGGCTAGTCCCCCCACGAGTGGATCGGCAGCTGATGACGTGGAGGATGCGTCCGTAGCACAAGGGCCCGGTCGTCAGGTCAGTTTGAACGAGCTGTTTGGTAGGAATCAGAACGGTATCGGGGGACCTTGAGAAGATGATGAGCAATTATTCTTGGACGAGTGAATTGAAACGAGGGTTCTAGGTTAATTTCGCAACGGCATTGGGACGGGCAGTTAAAAAACAACAGTCGCATTTGGCGTTCAGGGGATACCCGGGATAGGCGTTGACCTACGGATAGAAAAATGCATTTCGTCTTGAATTATTAAACTATGTAGGGTATTGCGATGGTATGACTCCCATTAGCTGCGTTTATACTCCACCTGGTTATCCCAATACTTTTTAAAACCCATTCTCAAGCTTAACGCTGCTACGAATTCAGTAACGAGAATTAGAAGGGAGAAGTCTTCGTACGTAGAGTCCATATCAAAGTTTATCTCACGAACGTATATCCCAATACGCACGTAGACCGTCGAACACACCATTACATCACAAGACAATTTCATAATGATATTTTGGCCATCACAGTATATTTAATATATATTTATAATTCTAACTTCCTTATACATATCTCATTCATTCGTTAATTAGACCATGTCTATCACGTGAATAAGAGATTCCATCCCTAATTTCAATGTTCCCCAACAAGCTATCCCGCTAGGGACACGATATAGCCCAACACCATATGCCGAATATACCATACCGACCTCGATACAGAAATGAAAGTCATGGGACTGGGCGACATTGCCTTAAAGCATGCCTGGGCGCCTATCTATGGTTAAGCCGTGCCGTAATTATCAGTTCTCTGGGCTATACCCCAAGCACCCGACAACCAGCCCCTTTTTTGTAGGTCATGTGCAAGATTTAGCCGGGGGGTGTAACGTAATATCCCCTTTAAACAAGCTGAGCGATAGGACTTCATTGCCAAGATTGTAAATGTCGATGTTATTGTTTAGGTACCTAGGTAGGTAGGTAGGTAACTCGAATTGAAGAATCATTTCTCTCTCCATGTATTGTAATACAGTGTGCCAAAACCGCTCTCAGAAACACCGTTGCTAGCGACCATGTTTCGAACTCGTCTCGCGCAGAATCGTCTAACTTTTGCTCGTATGTAAGCCATTGAAACACCTAAAAGCATAGTCTGGAACCATCCCCAATAATCAGTTGAAAAATCAGTTGAAAAGCTCGCCAAGGTCCTTTTTTGTCACGGCATTGCCAGCCGTGAGCCGGACCTCCCAAAATTGAGCCCAAGAAATTGTGAAAACCGCTTGCACCTTTTGATGCACCTTTCTAAGCGAAAGCACGCCCAGCAGCTATCGTCATGAAACCTCTTCTCCTTCCTCTTCTTCCCTAAACTTTAGACCACCTTCGACCTGGATTCCGTCGCGAACCCATTCGTGCTGGGTCACTTTCTCCATTGGCCAGCGACTTCTAGCTCGCTTAAGGAGACCTTCAGTAATTTCCATGGCGCCTTTTAGGCCTTCACTCTCAAATTTGGCCTCGCTCGCGTCATGATCGCCGTCGTCGCCCTGATACTTAATCCATCTCCATTCGACGCGCGCGATCCTGTGACTCGTCCTACTTCGCATCCTCTGCGCATCGCTAGCACCAGGGGGGGGATCAAAAGGAAGTCGCGATTCAAGAAGAGCGTAGAGTAAAACACCAAGTGACCAGGCGTCAACAGCACGCCCATCATACGGCTGTCCTAATATGACTTCGGGTGCAGCGTAGTCATCCGATCCACACCGAGTCTCGAGTTTCTCATCATCGGCCACACGTCGTGACAGACCCAAATCTGTAAGCGTAGTTACGGAATATGGATATACAGCCCAATCTTGGTCTGGTTTTGTAAGCTCAGCTGGTGGAATATTCACTAAGACGTCTATCAACCTTGTTAGCAAATGAGAATTCATTATGCAATAAATAAAATTCACAATTTTACTTACTCTCAAGCTTGATATCCCGGTGAACAATCCGGCGTTCGTGGAGGTATCCCACTGCACCCACTATCTCGGCGAATATCCTTCTCAAAAGTGGGGGCGTTAAGGCATCTCGGTAGGTCGTTGCGACGTCGAATAGGTCGCCTCCGGGACAATAACTTAATACTAACAATGCCCTTGTCGGTTCTATGCTCCAGGCCTTCAAATGAACTAACGATGGATGGCTTATCGATCGCATTATATCGAGCTCTCGTTTGAGGCTCATCTCGATCCGCTCTTCTGAGGCCCCACCCCGAGGCCCATGTTCACAAACTTTGATGGCCACCAAAGTCTTACGATCTGGTTGGGTACCATTTATCGGGGATAGTAGCCCATTCGTCCCATTTTGAGTCGTGTCATTGGCTTCGTCGTCGGTAGCCACCTGACTTGTAGCTAACATCACTCGGCTAAACGTTCCTTGACCTAGCTCCTTAATAGCACGCCATCTCCTAAGTCTTCCATCATATCGACCACGAGCCTCAAAATACTCGTAACGTGATTTCTTAGAGCTGGCGTTATCACCACTCAGTGACGACTCGCTGGGCGGAGGCGACGGCGGTTTTGTTACTGGTATAATGCCCCGCGCAGCTGACAGATGCGGTTCTCGGCGTAAATGAGGGTCCGAAGTACCATCCACGGCATTCCCATCAACTTTTCCAGATACGGTATTCTGCCGTTTGGGTATGCCCTTTGGATCTGGTATGTATTCGCTAATACTTCTGTTCCGGCCATGTTCAACCTTGCCACTGCTGATTTCAGCTGCGTGGCCGACATTGAGTCCTGCATATACCCTCCGTTTAGTTTGATGAGCCAATGCGGAAGCAACAGATTCACCGGCTGCGGTTATAAGAACTGAATCAGGCATGACTGGAGGTAAAACCTCCCGTGCTTGCGACGGGCGGCGGGATCCGAATCGTCTCCAGGGACCGGGGGACTCATTACCTAGCAATGGCGATGGTAGAGGCGTAACATCGCCCATAGCAGATATCATAGGACTCGTATAGGTTGAACTTGCCGCAGAGCTAATGCTTTTCGGGTAGTGTTGCTTGACGCTAGGAGTTCTCGAAACTGGTCTTAGACTCGGAGAGGAAGTCTGGCGTTGCAGGTTCAGTGTTGAGCGGTACGACGAGAAAGTACTGCGGTTACTATTAAGGCTGTCGGATCGTACTGGGGACGCAGGCGGTACATCAGTCGCGACATACAGATTACTGCCCCTACCCAGTGGTGACGGGAAGTATGCCGGATCTTCAGAAGATGAAATTGGTTCGCCTAGCTGGCGTTGTGATAGAGGCGGAGAAGGAGCTATTGTATGCGATTGGAACTGGATTTGATCGTGGGGGATAGGTGGTATCGAACTCATCGGCTCTTCGCATAGGTAATTAGAGGAATGTGTAGATTCGCCATTATAGGGTTGTGCTATGTTATTTTCCTGTACATGACTTCGATTTAATGCGTCAGCAGCTGTTAGGAAGGTATGTTCTCCCGAGGTAGGTAATCCGTTAAGAAGGTGTGTTTGCGACACAGATCGGCGTTCGTGGTCTGCGAGAATGCCATCCTGCAGAAAATGAGACTGGGGTTGAGTTTGTCCGCTGGACATATTTAAATTCTGGCTGAGCCAGTACGAGTTGACAGCGGCTGGCTTGACAACTTTGGGAACGGGTGTGAAACAATGAACGGATCTTGTGTGAATGACTCGAGTCTCGAGTGATATGTAGGAGGGAATTAACTAGCAAGGATTAGGAAAGCGTTTGTGTCAAGGGTTGACAGTTGTGTCTTTTTTTTTTCTTACAGGGAGCCACTTAGGTACTGGGACAAAAGCACAGTGAAGTACTGTAGCACGTAGCAAATGAGGTAGCCAAATACTTGGGTTGGTAACGGCAGTCGGAGGGAACAAACTCCACTAACTATTTAGAGGAGGAAGTTGAAGATTCACGTTCTCGATATGGCGCGGTGTCCGGCAGCCACGCTTCGTAGTCGATGAATAAAAAAGGTAATAAGAAAGGTATACGTTATACGTTAGAATTTAGTCGAAAGTGGCGTTTGATGTACGCGGCTAGTACTGAGATGAGACGAGGCCGGTGCTGTGCATCCAGTCGTATTAGTCCCAGGTCCTAAAGCGATGATGCGAACAATAGGGCGCAGCTAAGATAGGCAGCGAAGGTTAGACACAGAGGAATCGAGTCGATTAGAAACTCGGCGGCGACGGCGGCGGTACAGTACTACTCTCGAAGTACCACACTCCGGAAGCTGTGAATTGTGAATTGTAACGTTGACCTCAGTCTGCATTAGCTTAGGCCGTGGGCGAGGTACAGTGCAGCGCGGGAAACTTGGCTGCGACCAGGGTGCGATGCGCGTCGCCTCGTGGCCGAATGAGAGAACTTCTGTACACCACGTACTGCGTAGGTATATAAGTAGATAGTTTACTCAAATTTGAATCGACGGATATTAGGAAGTTATAGCAAGGTTTTGTTCGAGATATGAGTAGGTAGAGATCCGTTAACCATCGGCCATTGATGGAGAAAGACGGATAGCGAATGATGGATATATCAGGACGTGGGGGGAGAATCGATATCCAGTAATTATTGTAAGATGATTAATGAAGTTGATAATTAGCAGGTAAAGATAAGAATGTATTTGTGACAGGATTGAACAATAGAAGACAAGAATGTGTTGGACGAGAACAAAGGTGTTTAGGATGTATCGATCATTGAAATGATTGTTGTATCGAACAGCCTTTTACATTTATTGCACTGCATGTGTGATGTGTGTGTGTAGAGGGAAGAAGACTTAGCTGCAGACGGTACGAAGAACCGGAGGATCCCCGTTGAATATGTACCTACAGCAGGTACATTAGGTTATGACGGGTGGACCCAAATTTGGGGTACCTAGCGAGATCGATGCTTAATTTTGATTTACATTAGGTCAGGTGGGCATTCTCGAACAAACTATGGCCTGACAGTTCAAGATATTTAACTTTGCTAGTAATACCTCATTAAGATACCAAGTGTCAGACTGACAACCTTATGTGTATTGTACATACGCTAAAATCCAATTCGTACATAATGTCCTAACCTGGTAGTCCATGATAGTGGACACCAGCACCGGACAGGTAAAGTGGAGAGGATTCCGATGTAGGTACACTTTACCTTATCTGCAAGCTGAGTGTCGCTTGTACAATACACTATGTACCTACATTATGTAGTTCCCCAACATCTGCATTGAATTTCCCAGGTTCTTATTCCAGTGCCGTCCGTTATCTTTAAAACATGTTCGTCCCCCAAATCTTATTTAAAATGATATCACTTCTCATCTTTTCAATCTCGTTTATCAAAATGTCATAGCCGCTTGCTATCTTTCTTAATTGAAAATACTATTTATAGATTGATAAATATCTACGCACTTAAGGTATATAAGAGGTACCGTATCTGCCGTATCATTGCTTACCTAGGTATGGTCTGATAAGCCAATTCGTCTTATACATTAGGTACACTAGACATCCAGACACCTTATGATAATGCACGTCATCTAGATATCGCCATTATTATATGTACATCAATACGCTTGCCCAGGGTTGCCCAGACTGCCTGAGGGGCCGTCCGCTTTGATCCTGAAAAAAGGGCACAGCTGAGAGTAAGACGATTTAGTGCGTTGAACCACCCCAACTCAAAATACGTGTCTCCTTTTTTTTCCTTTGCGACGCGATCCAAGATTCGCTAATTAAGTACCTTAGGCTAGGTACCTAACATTTACCTAAAGCTAGATCTCGATTTTTGGTCTAAGCAATATGTGCGGCGCTGATGTCATCTATATCGATGATATGTACAAATACAAAAGCACAATTTGTTACAGCACGCCCAACTGGACACACACGTGTACGCCAAAGTGACTAGATCATCAATATTAGCAGCCATGCGCTGACGATCCTCGGCGCCTACACGCATGTGTACCTAAGCCATTAAATTGAGTTTGTAGAACACGGTCCAATACTGTACAATTCCATTGGCTCATTTCTTTCGTCTAGCCATGTGCGGTCATTTGGTGGGGTTTACTTACTGCTTACTGACCACTGGCTCGATCCATAGGTGCATGATTCGATGCGTTAAACATGTTAGTTATAATAGTATCAGGCATCTTAGGATCGATCAGTTGTAGTTAATTCTCATCCTCATGCTACGGCATTTTGTCTATTTCTATTTCTACAAGATACATTTCTCATACTAACTTAGGTACAATTCATTAAGGGGCGAGCGTATTCTTCGAAACACGAGTGAATAACCTTACTCCGATGAAGCTATTAACTTTAACTAACACAGACTCATTTGACCTCAATACGTACCAACGTACGTAGGCTTTAACTTATGAGTCAAGAATATAAAGCTAATGCATCATCATGTTAAGTAACTGGGTAACCGGGTAATTATAATCAAAGCATAAGATTTAACACATAACTATCGAGAAGCTTAATCGACTAGTTGTTACAAATAAGTTCAAGAATTTATCTTAGTTACATTTTACCTTAAAATAGTCTTTCAACTTTTTCAATAAGCTTTATTTCTTTCCTCCTCTCCAAGTACTCTTTACTCCACTCAGTTGAATTAACACAATGCTTTGCCCCGATTCGGTTTTTTAGTGAGAACTTATATAGGTAAGTAGCTATATACCTTTAAAGCATATGCTGTACGTTGGCAATCCACTATATATGAATAGGTAGGTATTCAATCTATTGGAATGATGAAATACATGTGAGATATAGGTAGCTATATGTAAACAAACGTCGGTAAGGAGTACAAATATGCTTAATTTCGAGATGCTCCTCAGTCGTAACTATTGGCTACGTAAATGATATGATACTATCTCAAACGGCAGTCCCCTAAGGTACCCTGGCTGTTAAAAATAAAAAATACCCGAGAGATTTCCGGGTGCTTAAGAGAGGGAGGCATCAATGATCCCTTACAAGATATTATTCCCACTGAACTTTCGACGGGCTGTTCTCTATCTTACTCCTCGCTTCACTGATTAGCCCCAAGTACCTCGGATTTCTTAACATGTGAACTGCTTAGATATCTAAATTACTAATCAGAGTATTAATCGAGTCTCGGCCTGGGCGCCATTAGAAGCTACAATTATGCACCAGGTAGTATTTTAATATGAACGGTTTAGATATAAGAACTCACTTTCCTTAAGTATCGATTTAACCATTGCTTAAGTAGTTGATTAATCAATAATAACTACTTAACTACCTTTAATTATCATTTAGTTATGGACAAGTATCTCTTGGATTTACGCATAATATAGGTAAACATGGAAACCGTTCGCTTAAAAAATCGTAAGCAACCTCCTAACGAGATAATTGACTACCTTAGGTACTCTTGCTTTGCTAGGCTTCGTGGAGTTAATTGGGTAGGTATTTATCTTCATCTCTTAACGTTATTGCCGATGTTGCGAGGGGCGGGCCTTTAATTCTCCAACTGAACCGCATAAATGCCGACGTGGTCCCATATTGGTAAAGATGACATTGGAGTGAAGACAGTTGAGACCTACTCCTCAACTGGCACCGGAAAATCATATAGCATATTCGGGTTCCGAAAGCATTAACCGACCTGTCGTTCTTCTCTGATGTCACGTACGTACTATACCCGATTAGACACCCACGTCTATTGGAGTATGAGAGGCGATATTCCCCTTTTACTTCTCCAAATGAATTATAAGTGCCGGGATATTGAATAGGGGCCGGGATATTGAATAGGATCTCGAGCCTGGAATGCGGGGAAACAATGAAGTGACTAGTATTTACGATTAGCGAGATGATCAACCAATTAAGATCTGCTCATTCTAAGAAGAGATATATATCCGGAGTGGCCTGTTTGTTCTCAAGAAAGTTTGTTCTATGTAGATTATGTACGAGAGTTATTCTTCCATTATGGGTTCCGTCAACTACTCAACACCATTTACAATCAAAGAGGCGCCTATAGATGGCCACAGGCCCATGAAAGTTAGGGTAATAGGGGCTGGCTACTCCGGAATCTACTTAGGTATTCGTATACCACAGCGTTTACGCAATATCGACTTCCGAATATACGAAAGAAACGAATCAGTAGGTGGTACGTGGTGGGTGAACAAGTATCCAGGTATGAATTGGTCTTATTCGTCCCGGCCATTGCTCGTCTGGTTCGCTCACGTACTATAGGGTGTGCATGCGACATTCCAGCACATTCTTACCAATACTCGTTCAATCCGAATCCTGACTGGTCTGCTTTCTACGCACCTCAAAAGGAGATATGTTCGTATCTCCGAGGGACAGCCGAGAAATATGGAGTCCTCAGATATGTCAAGCTATCACATAGCGTAGAATCCTGTCGG